CAGCCTCCCTAGTAGCTGGGACTACAGGCATGTGCCACCATGCCCAGCTAATTTTTTCTATATATTTTTACTTGTCCAGCTAATTTCTTTCCGTTTTTAGTAGAGACAGGGTCTTGCTCTTGCTCAGGCTGGTCTAGAACTCCTGACCTCGAGCGATCCTTCTGCCTCCCAGAGCACTAGGATTACAGGCGTGAGTCACCGCGCCTGGCCTAGCCAGGTGTTTTTGAGAAACTATTTTTTTCTTGTTTTTGTGACTCTGTCGTTTATATTCTTAAACGTATACAGGCGTTTTACATTCTGTATCTGATAACTTAATATCTATTCTTGTGTGTCCAAATCTCTTTGATTTTTCTGCAGACTCTTGCTCATGGTAGCTTGTTTCCTTCTCTGTTTGGTTGGAAGAGAGCATATTTATCTTAATCTTTGGAAAACCTCAAGCCTGTGCTTAGGACACTGTGCTTCTGAGAGCATTGCCTTTGCCAGGACCTAAGGGTTGCTCCTAAGTGAGGGCCACGTTAGTCCCTTCAGGGGTCCCTGGCTTACGTTCGGAGTCTCAGGATAACTCTCCTTAGGACAACTGACCCTCACAGTTCTGGTTTTAGCTCCTGTGAGTTATTCTTGCCTTTGCCAGTCCCTCGCACTTTCAGGAATCTCAGAGATGCACAGAGGAGTATTCATGGTGGGCTTGAGCTGTTCTGGAACCCAGGGGCCACTCAGAGGGACCCAGTCCACACAGTCTCAGTCCGTGCTTTGCTGGAAGCTGCCTGGTGATTCTGTGGGCTGCTGGTCAGACCCACTGTTGAGGGGAAAGCTGGGGCCCAGGGAGCTCTGCAGACCCAGTATGCGCACAGGCTCTCGTGGCTTCAAGAAGGACCTTCTTGACCTTGGAGCATTTCCAGCTCGTGTGGGTCTGCAGCTCCTGCCTCCTGTTACGGCCCCTCCTTCTCCGTTCTGCTTTCCCCTCTCTTTCGTATACCTTCCTACATATTTCTCTGAAAGAGCTTCTTTTAGCACAGCTCTGGGCTGACTGTACTCACATTGCAGGTTCTGACCTGGGGTGGCAGCCAGGCGTGTGTCTTTGGGAGCTGAGCTTAACTCGGCATCATGAAGAATTAGTTGCTTAAACTGCCTTTACGTTCTCGCATTGCAGATGCTAATCAGGTTCACTTTGTTTTCTAGTTGACGATTGTCAGAGGTAGAGGCTTGGTGCCTGGCCCGCACTCTTCCCATGGAGGACAGAGGCTCAGCAGCCTTTGAAGAGGACCAGAGATGCCTGTCTGGGAGCCTCCCGTTGCCAGCGCCACCGGAGGCCCCAGCTGCACAGACCATCTCCAAGCCCAGCAAGTCATTTTCCTGGGCGCACCGACACCTGAGCAGGAAGAACGGGCTTTCTAAACTCTGCCAGAGCAGGATGGCGCTCTCCGGTAACGACCTTCTGGTCATTGTGGGGGTCAGTGTTGGCATGAAAATGTGGACTTGCTCGTTTTCTCCCCATGGAAACCCTTTTGTTGGTGATTAACGTCAGTTATTCTCTTCTTGTAGAGAAAAGGTATTTGTTTAGGTGCTGGGCACATGTCGGTGGACGGCACTGGCCAGACCTTCCCTGCCGCTTCGGCTCCGCTGTGATTCTCAGGCACACAACTCTTCTTTTCCGGCAGTGGTTGGAATTCACCTCCGCATTTCAGGGTCAAAGCACAGCAGAATGTTATTTCTTACTTCAGAGTGTGCGGGAACGCTGTCCGAGGCTTGTCTGGGTTACAAGTGAAATGCAGTTTTGCTAGTTGAGCTTAGCAAATGTTTAATGACCGTAGGGCAGGTGCAGGCCTGGACACAGACGGGATAAGACAGGGTCCCTCCCCTCAGGGAGGTTTCACCACCACAGAGATGAGCATCAGCTTCACGGTGCAGGAGCCGTGCTCCTGGGGGTGGCCGGAAGCTGTGGGGCAGTGATTTCTCCAAGAAGTCAGCGGTGCCCCCAAGCCCAGGCACCCTGTGGCCCGGCCCCAGTGAGGAATAAGCATTGCCTGTCTTTGAGGGACTCGCCGTCTGATGGGAGGCTGCAGGCTTGAAGCTGGGGCGGACCTGGAAAATGGGGAAGTCCTTTGGGACAGTCGAGATGGTTGGAGCCAGAACGAAGAGCTGCAGGGGAAGGGAGGAGGGATCTGGTCCCGAGGACAAGGAGCAGTGTGGCAGAGAAAGAAGAGGGTGTTGGAGCTGAGCTTGTCAGACTGTAGCAGCTGGAGCAGCGGGTCCCGTGGAGGAGGCCTGAGATGCGCAGGCGAGGGGCTGCGAGGCAGCCAGCCCCCTCGAGTGTGGGCTTCCCGCAGGGTGCTGGCGAGGGATGTTCTCAGCAGAGCGTCGATGCGTTGTGTTCGTTTTTGGGGGGTCACCGTTTTGGGTGTCACACCCCCCACCGCTGGGGCAAGAGCTGAAGGCGCAGCATCCCCAGGCACAAGGTGTGGCTGAGCTACATGGTTGACTGCTGCCTGGAGGAGGAGGCGTGAGGGGCCTCCAGCACCAGGGAATGGGCAGGGTGAGGCTCCTGACTGAGGAAGTCAGGGGATCCTTGGTGAAGGCTGCAGAGGAGAGAAGATGGGGCTGGAGAGAAATGCAAGGGTCGGGTCCCGTGCATGGTTTGGGGCCACTGGAAGAACGTGGCTGGTGCTTACAGAGGAGAGGTGTGCCGGCTTGGAGCCTGGGGAGCTGCAGGGGCTGGAGGCACACGTGGGAGTCGCCAGCACGTTTGCATCTTGGGTGTATTCAGAGCTACCAAGGAGCGGGCGGGTGAGCCAGAGCCAGGTCCCTGGGTGGTGGGAGGTGGGGCGGGAGCTCGGTGCCTGGAAGACAGCAGGTGCTCCAGGTGGAGGGGAGCCCGGAGCCGCTGGTGAGTGGAGTAGGGCGAGGATCGAGCAGTGACTGCTGGTGGAGCGTCTCAGGAGCCAGTGGAGACGTTGCCGAGAGCAGATTTTCTGGAGCAGCGGGGAGTGACCGTGACAGGGAAAGAAGGTGGAGCGGGAGGGTGGGCCGCAAGCAGCTCTCGCACTGTGTGCTGCTTCCCAGGAACAAGAGGCAGGGCAGTGGCTGGAGGGCTGTGGGGTCCTGGGATGATGTGAGGGAAGAGACCTTCGAATTTAATTTGCACACAGAGGTGTGGATCTCGTGCCGTTCATGCTTCCGAGAGGACGTTGCTCTATGTTGCTACTGAGCGCCTGGCGGCTGCCTGAGTGGATTCTGGGGACTGCGTTCCGATGCACAGCTAGAGTGTGCGTCAGCTCTGCGGAGTAATTTCATCCTTGGATCCTTCTGTAGGAGCTGGGGCAAGGGCTGTGTGCTTTGCCTGCTTCAGGAATGAACTCCCGGCAGCCACGTGAGGTGTAAAGGTTTCTTTTCTTTGCAGAAGACAAGTGGAGCTCCTACTGTCTGTCATCACTGGCTGCCCAAAATATTTGCACAAGCAAACTGCACTGTCCTGCGGCACTTGAACACCCCGACCCCGCCGGGTCCCGGGGCAGCGTGTCCTGCTGTTCCCTGCTGCGGGGCTTGTCTGCAGGGTGGTCTGCGCCTCTGCTTCCAGCCCCCGTGTGCAACCCTAACAAGGCTGTCTTCACCGTGGATGCCAAGACCACAGAGGTATGTGCTGGTTTGAGACCAGCTATAGATGTGTGTTTGGGATTTGTGCCTTAAAGCTGTAACTTCAAACAGAGGAATTTGTGTGTTTTAAGTGCAATTAGAACACTTATATATAAGTGTTAATAGTTAATATTAACATTTGGTAAACTATAAACATTTGGTTTTACTTAAATAGTAACCAAAGAGATAAGAATTTGGAGAACTAAATATGATTCAATCAAAATGAGTTAAATCCTCTTATCAAAACAGAGATTCAAGGAAAGGGATAAAGTACATTGTTTACTCATGCTGCTGAAGTGTTGGCTCAGTTCAGCTGAGAACGGATATTTGACATCTGGATTAAATGCATTTGCACAATGTGCATTTATAAGCAGATAACGGAAATTGTGAGGACAGAGTTTGATATACATTCCCATGTTTTCTTCATAGTCTTGGATGTGTCCTGTGCCAATTGGGAAGGTGTATGGGTTCGGTCAGCGCCAACCTGGTCGTTTCCATGTAGTTGAGCCCCCAGTGGTACCAAGGGTGGGGCGTCATTGCTGGGGGAAGACGGGCCTCTGGCTGCCCAGCTGATCTCTCGATCGTCCTTCTCCTTGGCTCTCAGCTGTTCTGTAGTCAGAGGAGCTGCTGGTGACATTTGTGTCCTTGCTCCTCTTTGCGTCTCCTCAGATCCTGGTTGCCAATGACAAAGCTTGCAGGCTCCTGGGGTATAGCGGCCACAGCCTGATTGGCCAGAGGCTCACACAGTTCTTCCTGAAGTCGGATTCCGACGTGGTCGAAGCCCTCAGCGAGGAGCACGTGGGGACTGATGGCCGTGCTGCGGTAGTGTTCGGCACAGTGGTGAGTGGGGCGCCAGTGGGGCCTTGACCTGGCTTGCAGGGGTGAGCAGCACGTGGCAGGAAGACTCTGACCCCTCTCCTTGGGGCTCTGCTGGCGGCTGGGTGGCACCAGGCAATTGAAAACGTCACAGTGGGTGCTGTTCCTCCCCAGCTGAGGTGGAGGCGGGGCCTTTCCAAACGAAAGCTCCACGGAAACAGAGTGGCTGTGGCTGGACTCTCAAGGGGCACCTCAGGGTGTCACTTGTTTTGTTTGAGGGAGGTAGTTTGGCTGACGTCTTGCAGACCCGCAGGGCACCACACGAGATTCCCAAAAAAGCAATATAATTTGATTGTCTTTGCTAAGTTTTACATCAAAATTTACACATTCTATTTGTGTGGTGTGTGTTGGAGTGGGCAGGTGGCCTGTGCCCAGAAACATTTCCCGGGAGAGTTCTGATCCCCACTGCCCACGTGGCCACCCTGAACTGTTGGAAGGGTGAGCCCCAGGCATGGAGAGAACTCAGACAGGGTCGGTGGCATTGAAAGTCACTGATTCAAGAGACTTGCCACTAGGAAGAAAAAAAATGAAGATATTCAGCATGTATCGGTGTCTGTTCTTTAAGAAATAAGAGCTACTGCTCCCCACCCCGCTGTACTGTGAAACTGAGGGTGAAAGGAGTCTGTTCTCTTGATATGACACCCAGTCAGAGATTGCGGTGTTCAGTATTAGAATGTCGGAAACTGATAGTTCTGCACGTTTCTGAAATGTCAGGCAGGTGAGTAGGGGTTGAAACGCTGAAGTGCCTGGAGTCCGAGGGGGCCTCTCCTGGAGGCAGGGCCCGCCTGTGCTGGTGGGCCGTGGCCCGGGTATGCAGGTGCCAGCCTGTCTGTTCGCAGGTGGACATCGTCAGCCGCAGTGGGGAGAAGATTCCAGTCTCAGTGTGGATGAAGAGGCTGCGGCAGGAGCACAGCCTGTGCTGCGTGGTGGTCCTGGAGCCTGTGGAGAGGGTCTCGGCCTGGGTTGATTTCCAGAGCGACGTGAGTGTGCGGCTCTGCCCCGTGCAAGGCCCCGTCTCCCCTCCCCCCAGCACTTCGGCAAGCGCCGCTCCCTGCCTTGTGCCTTAGGAAGAAAGAGTGTGAGGAGTCTGGAGGGTCTGCCCTGCTGTGCCTCTTCCCGATTGCGTGGGCTTGGGCAGGAACGTAATCTCCCAGTTTCCTCATCTGTAAAGGGGCGATTTGATCGTAACCACTCATAGAATTGTTTTAACACTTAAATGAAATAATGTGTGCAAACCCCTCGGCACAGTGGCTGGCATTAGAGACAGCACTGGAATGCACGCTGGGTGTTCTTACCAGCGAATGAGCCGCCAGCTTGGGCCAGGGCCTCTGAAGAACAACTCGAGAAAGCCCACGATTTAGGTACATCTGGTAGAAGGAAAAAGATAATGTTTCATGGAAGCTATTTATATGTCTCTTGCACTTAGATGTGGAAGTCACGTTAATGGTCTTGCTTTTAGCTGGAAGGCGTTGAGGCATAGTGAGATTCAAAGCTGAAGTGCAAGAAGCTCTTATAATAACACTGGAGCTCTGGGTTTTTTCTCCAGGGAACCATCACATCGTGTGACAGTCTCTTTGCTCATCTCCACGGCTTCGCATCTGGGGAGGACGTGGTTGGGCAGCACATCACAGACCTGATCCCTTCTCTGCAGCTCCCTCCTCCCGGCCAGCACATCCCAAAGGTAGGACCCTTGACCACCTGCACCATGTGTCGGGCTCGAGGTCTTAGGTTCAAATCTGTAACCATCGCCACGGATGCAGGCCAGGGGTTCCTGACCACAGAGCATCCTGGGGATGTGGGCCGTGCTCCAGCTTGAGCTCTCTGTGTCCACGGTCCTGACCAGGGCCGGAGCCTGTGTGGTCTCCCGGCTGACCACCCTTGTTGCCTTAGATCTCTCCCTGCAGCCTGCGGGGCAGTGTGCAGGGTCTCTCTAGTGAGGAGCAGGGAGCGCTGGCAGATGGGAGGGCAGTGGAGATCTGGGGTGTGGGCTGAGGCTGATTATTAGTCGAGTGCACCTTCCCGGTTCCCACTTTCCCCACTGGCTGGTGCCTTCACACAGGCGAGCTGTGTGGCTGCGAACTGAACCGATGTCTCGTTCCCAGCAGCCTGCAGGATGGCTGGACAGTTGCTTTGGGCTAAAGTCAGCTCTGCTGCTGCACGAAATAAGAGATCCTTTCAGGACATCTCTAGGATCTCCCCAGTTTTCTGGCTGGCCTTAAACTCAAAGCTTCACCCTCCAAGCCTGCATTTGTCGTTCTACGCTTCCCTGCTCTCTGGGAAGCCGCAGGCTTGTTCTCTTGGTGCTCTCTACCACTTCCACAGAGTGGCCAGCTGGGGCCACTGCTCCGGGAGGCTGCCAGTGGTGTCTGCTGAATCTGGTCATAAGCAGACCTCTGGCAATCCTAGACGTGTGTCCAAAAGAATGTGCACCAGAAGACATGTGTGAGCGTGTTCTTAGCCCCGTTTGTGATGACCCTACACTGGAACCACCCAACATCCCTCAGCAGTAAATGGAGACAGACACTAGGAGCCAGTGGAAAGTGGGCCACGCTGGTTCCCTGAAGGACTCCCTGGGACCCGGGCTCACGTGAGGTTCTGTGGAACCGGGTTAGGCCTGCAGTCTCCATGGGGAGCCCGGGGTCTCGAGTTCTAACTTTGATGAGGGGCAGTGCGTGTGAGGTGGGAGCTCCCCCACGTTCAGGATGGGGGCAGGCAAGCTGCCACACCTCCAACACAGGCCCCCGTAGTTCCCACATCTTACAGGGGTGAATCCTCAAACGAGGGCAGGTGCAAAGGCCTGGGTCCAGTTTGCCATGCTGAAACCAGAAAGGGAACGAACTCTTGAAGTCTTTGGTTAGGAGCACTGTATCAGTCAGGATGGAATTGGGAAACCGAATATATTCCAAGTATTTAAAATAGAGGGACTGTAATGCCAGGACTTCGTTTTGTGGGTGTTGGAAGAGCTGAGAAGGCAAGCAGGGGACGGCCAGGCTACCCAGAGATCGGCACCAGCAGGAAGCTACTGCCCCCAGGCTAGGGGGACGGAGGAGAGTGAAGGCGTGGGCCAGTCTCAGAGGTGAACACTGGGGACATTGTGTAAGGCTGGGAGGGGTGAGAGGAACACGTTGGCTCTTCCTCCTTCCACACATGTGGGGCCAGCACCCTGGGGCAGAGCAAGGATGGTACAGATGCCAGAGATGTGGCTGAGCCCGGAGCCCCACCGTCTTCTCCCCCGCACTTGCCCTGGCCTGTCCACTACCCTCGTGGCTGCGCTCGGGGCGGTTCTGGATCAGTCCTCCCTACCCCAGCTGCTGTGCCTGGTCAGGGCTCTGCCTTCCCTGGGGCAAAGTGGGGCCCCAGGAGAGCTGGAAGGAAGAGCAGTGTGGGCGTGAGATATTCCTGGGACTTTCCCCGAGGGTTGTGGAGTGGAATTCACACCCGAAGCAGCACAGACTCAGTGTCCCGTCTACGCGAAATGCTGCTAAACGACGCATCTTCCTTTCAGAACCTCAAGATTCAACGGTCTGTTGGAAGAGCTAGGGACGGCACCACCTTCCCCCTGAGTTTGAAACTGAAATCTAAAACCAGCAGCGAGGAGGCGGATGCCGGCGAGGCTGTCCCTGAGCAGGGCTGTTCGGCGTCCGTGTGGGTGTTCTGCACCATCAGCGGCCTCATCACCCTCCTGCCTGACGGGACCATCTACGGCATCAACCACAGCTTTGCGCTGATGCTGTTTGGTTACGGACAGTCCGAGCTCCTGGGCAAGGTGGGCTTGCCCTGGGTCACCCAGCTCCTGTGGCTGAGGAAGCTGGTGTGTGCTCCACAGGGAGGGCGTGTGTCTGTCACCAGCCTTTGTGCCAGATGAGCTGTCGAGCTTGCTGGCTTTACCCGGGGGGAACCTCGGGCCCACGAAGGGAGGCCCCTGCTCAGGGCCTCCAGGTTGTTTCCCTAGACCATGACCACCCTCGGAGGGTCTCCAGGGTCGCCCCAGAGGAAGCAGAGGAGGGCTCTGCCTGGAAGCCTGTTCCCAGTGGGGTCTGGTCTGACTGGATCAGTGTTCGTGTCCTAATTGCAGGGACCGTTTCTCACCCCATGGGCCTGTCCTGTCCTCGTGTCCTCAGAGCATGTCCTGTGGTCAGCCTAGGAGGACGGGGTTTCTGTTTCCTCCCTTCTTTGGATTGGGCTCTGTCTGAAGTCCTTTAAACACGGAGAGGCGGGGCCTCCCATGCCCATAGCAGAGCTCGTCAGGGTTCTCACTGGTCCTGTTTCCCCCCAACGCTGGGCCGAGCAGTCCCGTTACTGTGAACAGCCGCCGCAAACCGATGCTGAAAACGGCCAACATTGCAGGTGTTGGCCACAGATCAGCCCTTTGGGCGGAGCTCAGTGGGGACAGCTCGCTCTCCTCCACGTGCCGTCAGCTGGGGTGACTGCAAGCAGGGTGGTGCCTTTCGAAGCCTTCTTTGCTCACGCGTCTGGCCGGCTGGGACGGCGTCGGGTTGGCAACTGTAGCCCCTGCACGTGCCTCAGGGTGCTGCTGGGCCCCTGCCCGATGTGACCGGGCCCCAGAGCGAGCATCTCAGGCGGCCTCAGAAGCCATGTGGTGTCACTTCCACAGTCCTCTCCTCGTCAGGGCGGTCCCAGCAGTGGTTCTGGGCTCACTGGTAGGGGACACGGCCCCCCACTTGGTGGAGAAGGTTCGTGGGGTGGGAGTGGTTGTACGTCAGCCTCCGGAGGCCACCTGACCCCACCCGTTCCTGACACCCGAGCCTGCCCATGCCTGGCGCTCCAGGCTCCCGGACGCAGGTGCAGGCCCATGGCTTGCCTGTAGGCTTTCGCTGAGCTGTACCCACGGCCTCCTGGGAGGGAGGGAGCCTCTGTCTCCTCGTGATGCACTGGGGCAGACACTGGGACCCAGCGACAGAACTTCCTAAGTTCATCTGAGGCTCCAAAAGAGGTCTCTGTTCTCTATTAGAGACTAAAAAGTAAGCTAAATTGTAGTTAAAATAAGTCAAATTTGAGTTAATTAAACAGCAGTTAGCATAATTCCTGGGTGGGGGCTTCCCGCAGGAGTCCTTCAGAGAGTTTCAGGTATGGGGGTGCCCGTTCCTGTGGCCGCAAGCAGCTGTCCAGGTGTGGGGCCACACGCGGGTTCAGAGAAAACGTCCGTCCCGGCCACCCTTCCTTGCTGGGCGTGCGCCGCAGCTCTGGCCAGCCATGAGCCTCCCGGTGAGCCGCGCAAGGTGAGGCGTTGCACACAGGCGCCCAGGCCCAGGCGTGTGTGGGGCAGGGGCTGGACGTCTGCTCGACAGATGTGTAGGTGTCAGTATAACTTGCCTCAGGGTGTGTTAAATTGGTCTTTTTCGTAAGAAAATGGAGAAAATCATGAATTACTTGTTGAGTGTCAGAGGGGCTGCAGGCGGGGTGAAGGGCCATGTGCTCGAGGCCTTTCCTGAACTTGAGGGGTGAGCCACCCAGGGACGTGCCCACGGTGTTTTCATCTCTTTCGGCGCTGGGAGGGCTGGTCCAGTGGGTCAGTTCGGGTCCTTCCCGGTTCTGAAATGTCACTACTCTGTTTTCTAGAATATCACTTTCCTGATTCCTGGTTTCTACCGCTGCATGGACCTTGCCTACGACAGTTCTTTACAACTGCCGGACCCGGCCGGCTGCCTGGACGTCGGCAGTGGAAGGGGCCCTGGGGAGACGCCCTTAGACCCCTGGCAGGGCTGGAGCCCTGGTGGGGCCCAGAGTAAGACATGTGTCCCCCTCCTCAAGTGTGCGCCTGTGGCCGGCAAGCCCCACAGGACTCTGCCACGGGGATGGCAGGAGCAGAAGGCCTGGAGTGCAGGGCTGGGACAGCCGGTGGGCGCTGTTTCTCAGTGCGACGTTCTCCTCTGTCTCTCGTGGGTTCGTGTCGCCAGGGGTTGTGACTCTGTGCTCGTCTTACAAATGTAGCAGCCCTGAGACGAGGAATAGAAAACCCTCCCAGACTACCTCACTGTGTGCCCGGATGCAAGACCCAATCAGCTAATTGACAGTCTTGCCTTTTAAAGTAAACTTATGTAGTAGTTTTGTGTAGTTTGGGATTGAATTGACACAGCGTATCACATTACACTTGACCCTTGAACAGCATGAGTGTGAACTTCAAGGGTCCACTTACACACGGGTTTTTTTCAACTTCAAAGATACATTGTTCGTGGGATTGGAAACTCGCCTACACAGAGGGGCTGTCTTTTCGTCAGGTGGGTCTCACGCTCCTGTGGCAGGAGACAGAGGTGATGAAGGAAAGACGGAGGGAGGGGCAGACGCTATGAATAGCAGAAAGCAAGGCCGTGTCGGGGGCACGCGCCACACGGCCAGGTGGCCCCTGCGGATGGGTGCTGTGCTGCGATGCAGGGCACTGAATAAACATGCATGTGGATTTAACATGGTCATGGAGGAAGCACGTGACTGTCTGACGGCTGGTGAAAACGGCATGTGTCAAGCAGTGTTTAGTTTTCTGGGGTCCCTGTGAGATCTGTCAGCACAGCCTAGACCTGGGCCGGAAGGCCTGGCTCCTTCCCAGTCGTGGCTCTGTGGGGCCTTGGGAGCTCGATTATAACATCTTGTCTTAGAAGATGCTTTGTTAGGCTGCTGACTGTATTTAAGGTTCCTGCTTTTCTTAGCACATGGTTTCTCTCGTTGTGTCTGGGTTTTCCTGTCGGCAGACTCTCCCCTACTCAGGGTTTTCTTGTCACTGAGTGCATTCCCCTTCTCCCTCTTCCAGAATCCCAGATTCGTCCCCGCGTGTGCATGTGTGTTTACTGCGTGCTATTTGTAGAGTGTTTGGAGGGGAGATCACAGAACTTCTGTTCCTCTCTCATTGTTGCCTTAGGATAAATTCTTAGAAGTGGAAGTTCTGGGTTTAGGGAATGAGCACTTTTGCCAGGTGTTGTCCGAAGTGCCCATTCAGGCAGTGGTGTCTCACCTGCCCGGCTGTCCTCGACGTGGAGTGGGTTCCCTCAGCCAGGGGCTAGGATTCTTTCTAACTTTCTTCCTGATCCAGACTGTTTTCGCTTATTTAGCCAAAAAGCATACCCTGGCTGTCTGCTCTGTGTTGGATGTGCTGTAGGCAAACACCTGCCGTCATGGAGCTGGTGGGCGCAGCTGGGGCGCAGGGCTTAGGAAGCGCCCAGAGCTCTGGCGGGAAGGAAGTGGGGAAGAGGGGTGTGCAGCCTTGGGACTTGGGCCAAGGAGGCCAAAAAAGCCTGGCAGACCAGGGTGCAGCGCTCTGGGACCCACGCCCCATGTGTGGCAGGGAGTCCGGGATGGCCGCCGGAGGGAGCCAGGTCGGGAGACTGCAGGGCCTTGGGGCACATGGCAGGGACTCCAGCTTTTGCCCGAGTCCGATGGGAGCCCTCGGAGGGTCGTCAGTAGGTGGGGGATGTGCTCTGACTCGGGTGTTAACAGGGTCGCGCAGGCTGACTGCAGGGCCCCGGGCCAGGCAGCGGGGTGACCAGGAGGCTGAGAGGCTGCTGGCTTGGACCAGGGTTCCTGTGGGTGGAGAGGAGCTGCTGCTTTGGGTCATGCTGTGAAGGTGGGGCCGACAGGCAGTGTTTAAGGTGAAGCTCTCCCACCCTTGCCCCCATGAATCACAGGGAAATGAGGAGATTCGCTTTAGCCTGTGATTAGAAAACACTCTTTGTTGATGTTGCTGCTAGATCCAAGGGTTAACATTGTGCTTTCTGGAGACCACGTTCTGCCGCAAGATGAGACCCTGAAGCTGATGGGAAGCCAAGAAGTCTTCACCAGGACCCAGACCCTGCTGGGAACTGGAGGCCGGCCCCCTCCCTCCCTCTCGTCCCAGCCTCCTCCTAGGTAAGTCCTTTGGTGGGAGGTTGCAGGTTTCCAGAAGTCCAGGCAGGTGCTAGGTAGATGAGGAACACTTTGGAGAGAACTGTTCAGCCTATCAGTAGTAACAGTGACAGCTAATGTGTATTGTGTGCCCACTCTGTTCCACACACAGGAACTGTTGCTGTTCCCAGACGACCTGCCTGAGTCCTCACCAGCCTCTATGAGAAGGTCATTAAATATGAAATGTGTGATTTCGAATCAAAAGGTTATTTTATTATACATCAAACAGGAAGCAGTACAGTTAATCGAAGTATGCACCTAACCTATTGACACAGTTTTGTCATCTTAACAGTAGCCTGTTTATGCCAGCTGCAAAGAAGCCTGGAGAGCGAATGGCAATGAAATCACAAAAGGTGTTCTCCACAGCTTGTTGAGAATTGAATATTTTTCCTTGCAAGAAGTGGTCCAAAGCCTGGAAGAAGTGGGAGTCAGTTGGCACAAAGTCTGGTGAATACAGTGGATGACACAGAGTTTCCAAGTCCAGCCTCTGTAGTTTGAGCAGCACTGTTTGTGTGACATGGGGTCAAGCACTGTCTTGCAAGAGGATTGGCCTGTCTCTGTGGACCAATCCTGGCTGCTTCATCACAAGCATCCTCATCATTTCATCCAACTGGTTGCAGTAGACATCCGCTGTAATTCATTGACCAGGTTTCATGAAGCTGTAGTGGATAATACCAGCGCTGGACCACCAGACACCATTACCTTTTTGTGATGAATGATTTGTTTTGGACTGTGTTTTGGCCCTTCATTTTTATCCGACTGTTGTGCCGACTGCGATTGTGAAAAAGAATCCATTTTTTATCACACCTAATGATACAGTATAGAAATGGTTTGCCTTTGTGTCATGACAGCAAAGAAAGGCAAGCTTCAAACTTAATAGTATTTAGCTTATTAAGTATGGACTGTCCGATTTTCTCAAGTATTAAGTTTGATAGTTGATATCTCTGAAATTTTGCTCTCACACTTGTTGTTTTTATTGTGAAACTTGGTCAATTGATTACAGTGGATGTCTACTGCAACCAATTAGACGAAATGATGAGGATGCTTGCGACTGGTCAATAGAGACTCTCCAGGCTTCTTTGCAGCTGGCATAAATGAGCTACTGTTAAGATGGCAAAACTGTGTCGATAGTTTAGGTGCATACTTAGATTAATTGTACTGCTTCTTGTTTGAGATATGATAAAATTTTGATTCAAAATCGGACAGTTCATATTTAATGACGTAATATTATCCCCATTTTGTGGGTAAGGAAATGAGCCGTTGGGAGCTCAGGAACATTTAGATAGATTTCAGAGAACTGATCTAAGCATAATTTTATGATTTTGAAAATCATATGAAACTGTTCTTGTACATTTTAAGATAACGTATTCTATTTAGTGTAAAGGAAGTTCATGTTAGAGAATTTAGAAAATTATGTAAAGCATTTTGGTGTGTTTTTAACCAGTTTTCTTTTTAAAAATATTTTTTTGTGCTCAGCCCACAGTGGAGGGCCCAAACCTTGGGTGCACATGTGGCCAGTGGTCCTTTCTCCACTCACCCCCGCAGGCCCCCTGGGTCCCCAGCACCCCTGCACTGGGGTCAGAGGTGTCCATCCTTGAACCTGACTTACGCTTTCCTTCCGTCTGCCTGCTTTTGCTAATTGTTTTATCTGTGATATTGATCCACATTGTTGTTTTCCAGTCTCCTTGAAATTATTTTAAAAATAGGTAGTACACGAATATGTGGTTTCTGAAGTACAGAAGAATAGTAGTAAACAGTGAAGGTTCGCAGACCATCCCCCAGCCTCCCTTCTCCGGTCCTGCTGTGTCCCCAGGGGACGGCCGCCAGCAGTTAGACCGTCTTTCTCGTGCATTTAAATTTACATGCATGTTGTATGTTTGTGTGTATGGGTGTGTGGGTGTGCTCGTGTATCACTGCTGCCGTTCCTGTCACAGCTGGGATGACACTGTGCACGTTGTCCTGATGCGTGGCGTGTTCACAGATACATCTGGAAGGCCTTTCTGTACGGTGTCTCCTCAGGACCAAAGCCTCCCAGGCAGCGCCACAGTTCATGCAGCTGCTCTCCCGGGCAGATGTTGCAGCGTTTCCCGGGTGCTCGTCTGCAGATGAGGCGCGAGAGCCCTGTGTGCGCAGGTTCTGTCAGCTGGGATGGGGCGGCGCGGCCCACGGTGCTCCTGGTGCTGGCTGCCGGGCTCCTTGCCAGTGTGTCCCGAGGGCTGGGAGGTCTCTGGACTCCCGCCAGGGTTTGCTCTGCCAGTCGCTCCCTCGGAACCCTGGACAGAGTTCGTCTTCTGGGACTTGGCTGTACGATGAGAAAGTTGCCCTAGATTAGCTGATTCTTGCTTTCTCTATTAAATTGTACATTTTTGGATCTCACAGTTCTAAGAATCTGATGAGCATCCACCGCATGTTCAGGGTAGTTAGTTACCATAGAGGTTCATGCCTCTTGTTCCCTCACGTGTCCACTTACTCGGGAAACACACGTCATGCTAAAGCAGCCAGAAATGACAAGGCTGGGAAGTGTGAAGGAAGTGGGGTGTGTGGCGTGTTTGTTGAGTTCTAGGAACTGTGTGAGGTGCTTCCTCGTAAGTTGTCTTCTTTAATTCTCCCGGTAATCCTGGGAGCTCAGTCTTACTATTATTTTTGGCAAATTGATGATGAAGCCAAGTGAACCGTGGATCAGGTACCAGAAGAGACTCCAGGTGACGCCCTCAGACAGCAGGTGGGGGTCCCGGATCCCCACGGTGGTCGGGCCCAGCCTCCCTGCTGGAGGACCGCAGCCCCTGGGACTGCCCTGGGCTCGGGTCCCAGCAGCTCAGGGACTGTGTGAACCCCAGCAGGTGAGTGGGGAGTGGGGTGGGGGTCTGCTCTTGAGGGTCACCTGGCAGCCACACCCCTCCCTCACTTCACACTGGCCAGGACTTAGTGACGCAGCAATGCTTGGCTTCCAGGGCAACTGTGGAATGTCCTCTTGTTTTCTGGGTTGTTGTCATGCTAAAAATCAGAGATCCTTTGGGTTCACAGTTTCTTAACCAAAATTTTGAAGTCTAAAAAGCCCCAACACTGAAAGTTTTTTTCCCCAAATTTGATGCTGCTGTGATTGAAGATCACGCCAAGCTCATGGGAAGCAATTTATGGTTTCCCCTGACCTCCATGGTTTGAGTTTTCCTAGGCTTTGCTGCGGAACAGGGCAGGGTCTCCCCAGCCTGCCAGGGTCTCCCTGCAGGTGACGGGATGGCCTTTCTGAAATCTGGCCCAGGGGTTGTGGGTGGAAGGGCTGTGGACGCTGGGTGCCACCAGCAGTGGGTGCACAGGTGAAAGTGCAGAGCTGCCTGGGGCCTCGACGCGCCCATCCAGACTGCGGGCTGAGCTTGTTCCTGAATGTCTCGTCCTGGAGGTTGCCCAGACGCCTTGGCATGGGGCTTAGCCAGCCTCTTCTGTTGCGGGTTCCTGCCTCTGCTGGCCGTGCAGAAGGACGAGCACTTTCCCGAGGTTGGCACAAGGCTCGTCTCTTGGCATGGGCAGATGGTGAGGGAGACGGGGAGCGCGGTGGGGTGGAGGGAGACATGGGTGCAGACGTTTCTTGCCCCTGCAGACCCTTGCCCACCCCTCATTGCCCCAGAAAACTTCCGCTCTCCCTGGGAACCATGCTGACCATCCTTTCTCTGTGGGACAGAGATCCCCTCGTATCAGATCCCTCGTATCTGATCCCTCGTATCAGATCCTCCCTCTCTGTCCCCGTGAGCCCCGGTTGTGCTTTGGTAGGTTGCTGGCGTAGATTTGTGCGTCTCTCCCCCAGTGGGACAGGCATGGCTGCGTTCTGTCAGTGTGGTGCCCAGCGTCACACCTGGGCGGTGTGGACAGGTGTGGGGCTAGCTGGAGGGAAGTCTTGACCTGGTCCCTCAGCTCTGAGGATTGGCCTGTCGCCTGTGGCAGCAGCCTCCTCACTGTCACTGCGTGCTGAATGCTCTGGTGGGCATTTGTCCCAGCTCTCACGAACACGTTAACCTGCCACGCACAGGGCCCAGCCTCCGTGCTCCTCATCCTCCTCTGAGAGCTGCTTCCCCGTCGGCTGTGAAATCAGACGGTATCGCGGCCAGTCGCAGATTAGCACTGCAGAGTGTTCAGAGCACTCTCCAATCCCTGTCTCTTTGCTCCCACAGCTCCTTATGGCAGCTACTGGGGCCTCCCCCGCACGGGTGGGGCTGAGGCTGAGGCCGAGCTGCACAGCTGGCGGGGTGGGGGCTGGGGTCACCGGAGGCCCTGGTGTGGAGTGAGAGAGCTGACCAGAGCCTTGAGCCTGTGCTCCTGTGCTTTGGTGTTGGGCTTTCGGTAGCACTCTCTGATGAACTGTTGCTAAATGTGGGTTTATCTGGAGAATATTTGAGAGTAGGTGCCTTATTTTTTAACTTGATGACAGAATTTAATTTTTATGTTATAAATTTGTGGCATTAAATGCTTTGTACTTGTCTCTAACGGGGAATCGAGGTGATCTCTCCTTTTGATTCCTCTGTGGCCCTGTGTCATCCATATTACCGTCCCCAGGGTGGACACCATTTCGGAAGGAAGCCCACCAGCCGCCGGTGAGCAGCCGTTCCCTGAGGACCAGCAGACCACTGCTTGGGGGAGAGAGGAACCTGCAGCGACAGAGAGCCTGAAACAGGATCTTCCGGGAGAAAGCAGGTCTGCACTAGTGGATGCAAAACTGCTTGCTTCCAGTGAAGCCTCTGAAACTCCAGTCCCAGCTGAGGACAGGAGCAGTGACGCAGGAGTGCGCGGCCTACGTCAGGAGGCTCAGCTAGAACTGGTGGGGCTCAGTGGTCCCAGCAGTGCCAACACCTGGACCCATGCCCCGGCTGAGCACCAGGCCTTGGGGCAGCTGGCAGGGGGCGGCCTTCCCACGCACTGCCCTCGGCACGGGGGCGAGTGGGGCCTGCAGCGGCGTGGCAGGGACTCGGCTCCCAGCCCCTCGGAGGCAGCGTGTGTCTCGTTTGGGACTCCTACTGTGGATGAGACGTGGCCAGGAGCAAAAAACGACCGAGAGGAGCTGCAGACTTGCTTAATTAAGGAGCAGCTGTCCAAGTCGAGCTCTGCCGGAGCCCTGGGCATCCCCTATGTGGAGCTTGTCTCAGCAGAGCAGCCCCTGTTCACGGCCCCTGTGTCGTCCTGTGATCTGGCAGGCAGAGATCTGCATGGCAGCCGCGCGGGCAGCTCCTCAGCCTGCTACGCCTTGGCCATGGACCTCCCCGGCGTCCTGCAGGCAGCGGAGGCACAGGAGGCCGATGTGAATTCATTTTCCTGGAACCTTAAGGAACTGTTTTTCAGCAACCAGACAGACCGAACGTCCTCGAATTGTTCCTGTGCTACGTCTGAACTCGTAGGGACACCCTCTCCTTCGCTGGTGGGCTCTGATTTAGACGTGGGCAGTCTCCATGGGCAGAGATCAGATGCTCTAGATGACAGAGAGCTGTTACTGCTGACTGGCACCTATTTTGACTTTGGTGAAGGCCAGCGGTTCCGGGGCAGCTGCCTGGGGCATGATCGAACAGAACCGTCTGAGATTGGCTTGGCGTCCTCTGAGCATTGTGAAGCAAGTGACAGAGAAAGCCCAGACTGCATCCCCCCCACGTCAGACGCCAGCCCCAGGGATGCACACTCGTCAGCAGAGGATCCGAGGCTGAACGTCCGGGTCACCTCCACGCCTGTGACACCCGGGGCTGCCGGCCTGCAGCGGGAGATCCAGGAGGGCACCTACTCAGGGAGCTGCTACCATCGCGATGGCCTGCAGCTGAGTGCGTCCCAGGCCCGGGGTCGGGGGGAGCTTGTGGCCAGAGCACAGCACAGCAGGGGCGGGGCTTCCTGGTCCTGGGGTCTGACAGGTGTCACTGCTGAATAGTTTGGCAGAAAGTACGTGTTGAAGGGTAAAGCTTTATCATCCACCTCTTGCAAATTAAGACTATATGTGTGTGTGCCCAGGGAGGGCAGAGCCAAGGCTCCTGCCCCTGCCCCTTCCTCTTCCTCAAGGAGCTGCTCTCTTGGAGGGAGCTGGGGAGAGTCCCTGGGATCAGAAGGGGTGGTGCATATGGCCAGCCTGTGTATGTGGCTTTAATTTAAACCATTCACTTTCTGAAGGCAGAGGGCCTGCTTTGTGCAGGGTCACGTTGAGTGCATGTTTCTGGGCTTTTCTGAGCTCAGGAGTGGTCTGTGGTGTGGCCTCCTGGCTGTGTGGGGAGGTGTCGCCATCGCGGGTCCACAGGCCGTGCTGCTGCTGCTGCGGTGCTGTCTGTACTGTCCCCGGCGGCTCTCTGTCATCTTGACTGTTGTGGGGCGTGGGCTTTCCTGTCACAAGGCTGCTGCCCACCTGGGTCAGTGGAGGGCTGTGCACTCTCTCCTTCTCGCCCTCAGGTATACAGTTCGAGGTGAAGCGGGTGGAGCTCCAAGGCCCCGTGCCCCTGTTCTGCTGCTGGCTGGTGAAGGACCTCCTCCACAGCCACCGGGACTCGGCCACCAGGACCCGCCTGCTCCTTGCCAGCCTGCCCAGCTCTGCCCACTCCGTGTCCGAGCTCCCTGGATCCGGCCTGGGGGAAGTGGGTGTCTGCAGTCAGCTCCTGCCTTGGATTCGCCTCTTACTGTGGGGCGAAAATTCCAGTTGGCATTTCTCTCTCTCTCTGCTTACTCGGGGATGGGAATAGGGTCTTTCTGTGGCTTTTTGACACTGTCTTCTAATACCCTGTGTAAGTATGATGCCACACGTAGGACTTTAAGTCTGTGTGTGCCGTGTGCGGTGGGGTGTGAGCACGTTTTGGCGCGTGTGCCAGTTTGGATTGAGGTGCAGAGGCTGCCTGGAGTGCCCCATGGAGAGAGGTTCTCAGGCTGGGTCCCCGTGGGCACGGGAGGACGGGGTGTGGGGCATGGGGCATACCTGTGGCAAGTGGGTGGCTGCTGGGGATGCCTATGTACATGGCCGCCGCCTCTCTGTGGTGCAGTTGATGTGATCCTTCAGACCTTCCTTTGTGTGGCAGATGCTCAGAGCCAAGCCCTGGTTTGAGGAGTCCCCCCGGGCTGTGGAGCCGGAGGGGCTGGCGGCCTGCGAGGGAGCATTTTCCTGCAAGTACAGCACCCTGAGCCCGCTCGGCAGCGGGGCCTTCGGCTTCGTGTGGACCGCGGTGGATAAGGAGGAGAACAAGCAGGTGCGCTGGCTTTTGGAGGGACGCGGGGCCAGCGCCACTTCCGATGGCTCCTGACTTTTGGTCCCTGTTCTCCAAAGCTGGGATTTTTAGTGGGATGGGACGAGTCCTCCATGTGTAGCACCAAGAACCTGGCCTGGTGTGTAGGCAGTTTCAAGGAGGCCTCTCCCAGTAGTGCACACACTGACACCCAGGGTTGACGTCCTGTCAAGTTTTAGATTCAGACCTCGCCCTGGCCAGGCTCAGGGGTCAATGGCCAGCCACGTGTTGAGACCCATGTCTGGATCCCCTCCCCACGGAGCCTGGGGCTTGCACCACTTTCCCACTGCCCGCCTGGCATGCTGACACCTCACGGGCACTGCAAGCTCTCACTTAAATGTAGACAAGACCTCCTCCACTCCCCTGGGAAAAAAGTCTCCAGCAAACAAAGAAGCACGCAGACTGACCAACTAACGCTCTCGTCCTGGGTTCCCGGAATGACCTCTGTTTATAGCTCCTGCTGGAGCAGCCCTGTGGGTGCTTGGAATGCTGCCAACTGCTGCTCCCTCCCTGCCTCCCCAGTCACTATGGCCATTCTTACACACTCCCTTCCACGTGAGTTTTGGAACTTACAGTCCCTCCTGCCGAGTCCTGTTGGGATTTGTAGCTCCTTGACAGTTTGTGATTTGGGGGATTGACATTGGGACAGTACCCACTTTCCAGCTCAGAAGTCGCTGGGAGCACCGTCAGACCGCCCAGGCGTCTAACCGCCGGTTCCTGGGCAGGTCGTGGAGTACCGTCAGTGGGATCCTTCCTCCCCTGCGATTCCTCATCACCTGTTGCTGGAACGTACCATAGATCCCTGTTTGGGTTGATAGTATCATATATCTGTATCAAAGTCTTCCTAGTTCTACTATTTCTTCAATTTTAGTCTCAATATTTCTTTGGATTTTCTAGGTCAACCACCACACCTCTGCAGTAATGACAGTTTGTCTGTCCTTTCTATTACTGGCGTCTCAGCATCCTTTTTCCCTTCCCTCCTGCCACGTTGGCGGGGATGGCAGAGCGTGGACTGGAGCAGGATGCCGCTGCTTCTCCCGCGCTTGGCCGTAGTCGCAGCGGTTCCTTTCACTTCCTGATGACCACCTTTTGTATGAGGATATTTCGTTTTATTTTCAGACTACTAAAATTTTTTTTTAAAAGAACAAGTGTTGGGTTCTCTCAAGCTCTATCAGAAGGTGTCTTCTCAGTGTCTACTGGCACGCTCGCGTCCTCGCTTCCTGTGTCACTGTAGCGAGTGGCGCTGACCGACTCTGTGACATTCAGGGAATCAGTCCTCGATTATGTTGTAATATTCTTTTAAAGCACTGCTGATTTCGATTTGCTAATATTTCTATTTGGTTTTCTTTTTCATTTATATTTATACACGATTTTTTTTAATGTCAAAGTTACACGAAGCCGGCGGAGCTGGCAGCTTCGGTGGTATCCACACGTGTGAGGGTGTCTGTGGAGTCCGTGGCCACTCATGCTCCCTCGGCTCTGCTGACGCTTGCGCCGCTCTCCCTCTTGCTCACCAAATACGTTTTGTGTTCTTTTAATTTCCTTTCTTATACTTTGTGCGGGTCAATTTTGCTGTTTTTCCTGGATTGAATGTGTGTGGTGTTTTTTTTTTTTTTTTTTGAGACAGAATCTTGCTCTGTTACCCTGGGTAGAGTGCAGTGGCACCATCCTAGCTCACAGCAGCCTCAAACTCCTGGGCTCAAGCGATCCTCCTGCCTCAGTCTCCCGAGTAGCTGGGACTATAGGTGTGCCCCACTGCGCCCAGCTAATTTTTTCTATTTTTTGTAGAGATGGGATCTTGCTCGTGCTCAGGCTGATCTTGAACTCCTGACCTCTAGCAATTCTCCTGCCTCCGCCTCCCAGAGTGCTAGGATTATAGGCCTGAGCCACTGCTCCTGGTCTGAATGTATATTTTTAATGCTGTTAATAAAAGCATTTACATATTTAGTTTTCTGAGCATACTTTGGGCATAGTCTAGAGGTTTTACTATATAGTGCTCTTGTCATGTGTTTCAAACAGTCTAATTTTTGAATTTCTATCTTCATCTTTAATTATCTTAAGGCAGATCTTCTCACTCTTGGTTCGAATCAGGAATCTGATAGGTTCTAGGGGTTTCTTTAGACCTTTATGCCTAAAGGATGAAGAAAGAAGTCCCAACATCCTTCTCTTGGTTTAAAAATAAATCATATGACTATTTTTGCCTTTTAAAAAACAGATGTCAGTTTAAATATTGTTATTAGGCCAGTAAATTATTGAGTAATCAATCAGAAAATGTACTCTTAAGGGTTGTTACAGTTCACAGCACAGAGCACAGTTCCCGTGTCTTAAAAGTCTCGTCTGTGCCAGGAACACCTGCGTGCAGGTTGCCTGGTGACAGGGAGCAGAGATGCGCATGTGTCCCCTGTTGTTGCTGTGGCGGGCGGGACAGGAGGGGCTAGCACGTTGGGAGGTTGATCTTTCACAGTTTATCAGGATTAGCTTTATGGTGAAGAATGGCTTTTCTTTTTCCTTCCCAGTTGTAGAGGAAAAGGTAATTTTTAAAATATTTCTGAGTTTCTTCCCTGCATTTACGGTGACATGCCATTTCAGGGTTAAGCGCCAGTATGCCAGCAGTTACCATTAAGAGAAAAAGAGCAGGCCTAAAACTTACACAGCTTGGACTATGGGAGAGCAAATGGCCGAAGAGAACTTTAACATATGGAATACATACGGCCTCTGGCCTGTTGGGTCATGGATCCTCCCGGCAAAGGGCCTTCAGAATTCGTGCGCTTCTCACCACTCCACACTGGCGCCCGAGCCACCGCACCTTGGTGACTGGATGTTGCCCAAGCCCTGGCTGCCCTTCCCCTCAGGCCCACCACTGCCCCTCTGTGCGTCCTGCGGCTCCGCTCAGGCCTGCTCCAGCCTCAGAACCTGGGCTCCAGCCCCGCTGCGGCAGTGCGCTGCCTGCGGGCTCCTCCCCCTTCCCAGAAGTCACTTCCCCAGGACACCCTCCCGCCCACCCACCCAGCCGGACCCCACTCCTGCACCTCCCTGCTCACCTTTTTCTTCCTGGCGCATCGTTCCCTTGCTGCGTGGCGTGTTCTGTTCATTGCCCTTCTCCCCAGGGGCCGTGAGCTCTGTGCCCGGCCCATGCTTGGCACCTGCCACGTCGCTCCTTCAGCTGCGCAGAGGCGCTCACTTAGCAGCAAGCGTCTTGCTGAGTGAACAGGGTTACCTTTTAGTGACTTAGAGTGTTTGTTTCTTTTTTGAATGGTATCTTTTTTCTGTTACACTTTGTCATTGGCCATTATTTACAGTTGTAACCATATTTTTCTTCTATTTATCTCATGTCCATGAGTCTTGCTGGGCTCTCTGATTAATCTCAGAATCAGTGTTGAAAGCATATCTAAGAATGGTGGTTTTTCTTTGTTTTGGTTCTCAGGCTTCTTATTTCATTTCTTGGCCAGGACATGCAGCCCTCAGGTGAGAAGGCAGGTGGTGTGAGAGAGGGCACAGGTCGAGGCTCCTCCTCGCCCTGTCAGTGCGCTCTGTAGAGTGGGCAGGGGTTACTCAGGCTTCCGACCAGCTTCCGGCGTCCCTCTGTGTCCTTGTGCTGCAGGGGTTTATGGTGATATTTCTTCCTTTATGTCCCTGGGATTTGGGGGCCAGCGCAGAAGCCCTGTCTGCCGCATGAAGTAATGATGGGCGCCAGGTTTAATGGGGTGCTGGAGGACTAGTTCCAGCCATTCTCACCCCTCTGTTTTCCTCATAGGTGGTGGTGAAGTTTATTAAGAAGGAGAAGGTTTTGGAGGATTGTTGGATTGAGGATCCCAAACTTGGAAAAGTTACTTTAGAGATCGCAATTCTCTCCAGGGTGGAGCATGCCAATATCATCAAGGTAGGTGACGATTTCCCGGTTAATGCTACTCTAACATTGCTCACGTAAAATTCCCTAAATTAGTTGACTCGAAGGTGTCTGGGCGGAGTTGGACTCGGCTTTGTCTCTGTCTAGGTCTTGGATGTATTTGAAAACCAAGGGTTCTTCCAGCTGGTGATGGAGAAGCACGGCTCCGGCCTGGACCTCTTCGCTTTCATCGACCGCCATCCCAGGCTGGACGAGCCCCTGGCGAGCTACATCTTCCGACAAGTGAGAGCGGCCAGAGCCTTGCCGGGGTGGACGAGGGCGTGGGCTTGTGGGCCCCGTGGCCGCGAAGATCAGGGACACGCTCGTTCTCCATGTCGGCTGGCTCTGGCCTTCAGTTTTGGGGTTTTATGGAGTAAGATCTATACTTTGAGAAGAAAATTCTATGGTTGAAGTAGAAGAAGTGAGTTTGGGAAGGAAGGATGAGGCCAGACATTGTCCTGGAATGATGGGAGAAGTACGTTTAAGGATTAAGATTTATTTATACACACCAATCACAAAAATTAACCAGCAAAGCTGTCGACTGGGCTTTGAGCCCTGTGCGTGTGATCTGAATTCTCGTCCACCATCATCCGTGGGCCTTGAGGAAACCACTGCTGTCCCTAAGCCTTGAGCTTGTGATCTGCACGTGGGAGTTGTCGTGGCACCCACACGATGAGGCTGGTAGGACTAAATCAGGCACCACGGCCGGCACGTCGTAAGTGCTCCACAAATGGTGGCTGTTGAGTGAATTAATCAGGAAAGAATGAGATTCTGACGCTCTCATTTTATGATAAATATTTGTCTTGATCTATTTCATACCTAATTATGCATCTGTCTTTGACCATTTGTTATTTTATCGGAATGGGAGAGTGATTAGCAGAGCAGGAAGGCCAGGGGTGGGGGGAGGGACAATAACTCTTGCTTTGAGCTTTAAGGAGGAGGTGGTGGTTCCATCCCAGACTGCTCCCAGCTCCCAGAAAGAATGGAAAACACACCAGGGGACTGTATGAACAATTCAGATTTGCTTTTTTGTTGTTTCCTGGAGATGACTCTAACGACAGCTGCCATGAATTAGCATTTCTTCCTCAAAGCGCTGCACTCTCAGAAGTTACTGGATTTCTGAAATTTAGTTTCTCAGGAACTGACTTATAAGTTTCGGACATTAAGGTTCTGCAAAATAATAGGTCATCTCTCTTCTTATGTTGAAAGATTATGTACTTGTTTAGTTCGTGGCAAAGAGTTGTTTCTGGAGTCTCTATGGCAGATAGTCTCTGTACGAGGTAACCTGGGAGTCACGATTGAAAGCTGCTGCCTAACAGTTGTTAATTCCGGGGCTGGTGCCAGGGATAATCGTAGCGTTCCACACTCTAAAATGTTTGCCCACAGTATCTATAGCGCCTTTGTAAACGCATACACAAATGTTATTATATGTAAACGGAGATTCCTAACTCAATGTAAACGTATTAATATTATTGTACTTAAGTGTGAATAATTAGTGCCGGTTATCAGCATGTTGCCTCCCAGCTCCGCGTTCACCATGGTGTGCGTGGTGACGGGGGCCCGGCTGTCCAGGGAGCTCACGGGCAGCTCCGTCAGCCCAGGGCGTGGGAGGGACCTATGGGAAGAACGACGTCTCCTCCTGGGTCAAGTTCTCTTGGCTCCTTTATAGTTAATCCCTCGTTAATAAATCTCGATGAAACTCTTCACGTTCAAATGAACGTGTCGTTTCTGTCTCCTGACTGACATGTAGGTGTCTATGTACGTATGTGTGCATGTGTGTGTGTTTATATATGTACTGGGAATGTACAAATATGTGCTGCATGTGTATATATGCACATGTGTATGTGCAGGTACGTGTGTGCACATGTATGTATATAAAAACATGCAGGCATGTACATGTTTGTACATACGGATATATAAATATTAAGCGTAAGTTAATGGATCGAGCGTAATAATCTGCTATTAACTATTGCTTCTGGTTCAAAGACATTCGTTTGCAAATACAAACTGATCTCTAAAGATCAAAATGATGACTGCTCAGTGAAGTCACTGCGTTGTCTGGGCACAGCGCAGTGCGCATCTCACCTGATCTGACCGAAAGGCTGGTCCCGCCGACCCCGCCGTTGCAGTGCAGGGTATGTGGCACATGGGGCGATGGCAGTACCTCTGCAGCCGACACGAGGCCCGCTGCCAGCGGACCCGCTCCGAGCCCACGCTGTTGAGAGTCCTCGCGTGCCGGGAAGGGCGGCCGGCCTGGCGCGCTGCTCTCTGGGCCGTGTCAGCCCCGCAGTGGGAGTTTCTGCTCCTGGCTCTGCCCCAAATTGCCGCCTGACCTCGGGGCAAGTCTTGCTCGGCCTCACAGAGCCCGCGCTCCCTGCCTGGTGCCGCCTCTCAGCTCTCGCTGTGGCCCGGCCTTCCTCCCAAGAGGTCATGGTGTGTCACGGCCAGGCGAGCACTGGAGAGTCACGTGTCCGCAAGTCACGTGTCCGCGTGTGGCCCTGCAGGCTGCCCCGCCCAGGCGCGCTCCTCACTGTGACCCGTTCATCAGGAGTTGTAGAATGTTTATTTTTTCCTTTCCGTCCTGTGAACGTGCATTTTAGATGCTCGTCTTACTCGAATGCATTTTTACGAAGTCCCCCTGCCTCCCGATTGCAGCTGGTGTCGGCCGTGGGCTACCTGCGCTCGAGGAACATCCTCCACCGCGACATCAAGGACGAGAACATCGTCATCGCCGAGGACTTCACCATTAAGCTGATAGACTTCGGCTCGGCCGCCTACCTGGAAAGGGGCAAGTTATTCTACACTTTCTGTGGGACGATCGAGTACTGCGCGCCGGAAGTCCTCCTGGGGAACCCGTACGTGTGATGCGCCGGTGTCCGCTCTGTCCTGTCGGGCGGGGGGCCCTGGGACGGGTTTGGTTTAGGGCTTTGGTTTGTGCCTCTCGGGACCGGGGTGCTGCGTGACGAAGGAACGCGTCCTGGAAAAGAAGTGACCAGGCACCCGGGTGGTGGACATGGGGGTTCATTCTGTTATCTTCTCAACTTGAGTTTGTGTTTAGAGTTCTATGTAAGAAAAGTTAAGAAAAATTTTAAGGGTGAAGATAGAAGAGTCCCTAACGATGGCACTGTTTAAATAAGTGAAGAGGATTCTTTTTTAGTTAGGGTTATTTATTTTGATGACAAGAATAATAATCTATTTCAATAAAATATTGTTGGGCTGGCCATGCAAGAAATGAAGCACTGGACAAAGTGTTGATGCAGAGCGTTCGTGTCAGGCAGGGACCCTTGGGCGGAGGGGCCCTCACTGCCCAGCCAGACTAGGTGTCAGCTCAGCCGTGCTGAGGGCAAGGACAACCAAGCCCCTCTGGCCTTGAATGTCCTAGGGGGTGTGGCTGAGTTTGCATCTCTGCAGACAGGGGAGCGTGTGAGCTGCAGGCGCCGGCCTGGGCCGAGCCTCGTCTCTGAGAACTCCAGAGAGGAAAGAAAAATTAAAAGGAAGATTGTTGCTTGAGTGTTTGTAGGGCCTGAGTGAAAACTGTCTGCTGACGGTACTTTCTGCTGTGCGTGCCTGGAACACTTTCTTCTGATCTGCATACGAACCAAGTGTGTCTCTGTGTGTATGAAATGGACTTTATTAAGCCAGAAATAGACGCAGGTACGTCCATCTGTGACCTACGTGTACTTCAGAGATGTGTGGTTAGAACGCGTCTGTGTGGGTGAGTCTGTGGTTGGAGGGACAGACGGGCACACGCTGCAGCCCCTCGCGGCTGTGGCAGCTGCCCTCTGCTGTGCCGCCGTGCCTGCTCCGCACGGTCTGTGGGCCGCTCAGTAGACCTGCTGGGAGCTGGATTTGACCTCATGGCCTGAGTCAGAGCATTTGCTCGTAGCCGCCACTATCTCCGTGCCATGCCTCAGGCTCTCTTGAGACCCTCAGCATTGGGGAGAGAAATGACCAGGGGCCTGGACCCCCAGCGTCTGCACAGGTCACGTCTCGCTTGAGTCAGGAGGTGCAGGTTCCGGGCTGCCATACTGAGCCCTCTGGAGCCCAGCAGCCCTCGGCTGCACCGGCCCGCCCACGCCGGGTGGTGCTTGGCTTTCCCAGGCCTGGCTGCCCGCCGTGTGGGCAACAGCTGGACTTTCTGTCAGCGGCAAAGCGTGGAGGGGATGCGAATCAAGCCTCGCCTGCTAGAACCTCCGTGTGTCTTCGGAGCCACCAAACAACATGAAATACTCTAAGAAGGGCCTTGGGGTTTCTTTTCAGATCTAATCGGTTACCTGCATGTGGCGGGTGCGGTCAGCTCCGCCCTGCCTGCTTGGCTGTCCCTTCACGTTGGAAGAACTGCATGTCTGCCGTCCGCACCGTGGCTTGCCATGCCCACCCACACCCAGGCGGTGGGGCTGCCACGCGGGGAGTGCGGGGAGCACTGAGCGCTCAGACCTCTGCCCCCACCCCCAGAGCTGCTCCCACCTGCCCCTGAGTCCCCCCATGGTTTCTGCCCCATATCCCAGCCCTTCCTTTCCAGCTGTGTGCGCAGCCCGAGTTCCGATTCCAGATCCCACCCTTAGGGACTCTGCTGCTTTCCTTGTCGTTTCCATGTCCTTCCACTCTGGGAGTCGGCAAACCGTGGCCCTTGTCCAAATCCAGCCCACCACTTGTGTGTTGAAATTTATTATTTTTTATTGTGGTAAAGCACAGATGACATAACGTTTGCCCTCTTAGCCATTGTTAAGTGTACAGTTCGTTGGCGTTAAGCACTTTCACATTGTCGTGAACTGTCACCACCATCCATCTCTAGAACTTTCTCATCTTCCCAAGCTGAACCTTCCCTCCCATTAAGCACTGACTCCCCTCTCCACCCCCAGCCCCTGGCTCCCGCCACTCTGCCCTTCGTCTCTGTGGGTGTGACGACTCCGGGGACCTCGTGAGTGGAACCACGCAGTGTCTGTCCATCCGTGACTGTGGTTTCACTCAGCCTGGTGTCCTCAAGGTTCGTCCCTGTTGTAGCAGGTGTCAGAATTTCCCTCCTTTTTAAGACGGAGTGATATTCCATCGTGTGTATGTACTTCCGCTTTGGTTATCCATCTGTCAGTCGGTAGGCTGATGTGGGTGCTGCCTCCGCCTTCCAGCTGCGGTCAGCAAAGCCGCCGTGCACGTGGTGTGTCTGCTTGTTTTTATGATGAGGGTTTGTTGGGACACAGCTGAGCTTGGTGGCTCAAGTCTCGTCTGGCTGCTCTGGTGTTGCCAGAGACCACGTGGCCCACAAGCCCGAGACACCTACTGTTCGGCCATTTGAGGGAAAAGTTCCTGACCCTGTTTCACTCTATTGGATTTTCTCTTCAACTTCTAAAATTCTTGAAATCTCTCTAAAAAACAACACAAAGACAAAAGCTGTCGCATCTGATCTTGCTCCAGCGTGTGCAGCCTCTCGCCCCCCTGGCTTCCCTGAGGTCTGTGTTGGCGCCCTCCGCTCCCCTCTCTCATGGGCCCCCTCCTTCGAGCTTGGCTTTTGCCCCCTGGCCTGGTTTTCTGTCCTGATGTTCCCAGGACAGCGCAGGATCTGTCCTGGGCCCTCTTCTCACCACGGAAATTTCTCTCGGCGGCCTTGTCTGAATGTGACTCTGGTGAAACGCTGCTGCTTCTCAGGCCCCGCTCACTGTCTCCATCCCTCCTGCCGTCGCCCCGCTGCATCCTCGAGCATTTCCCACCTGCTCTGGTCTCGTCCTTGAGCGTCCTTCGGTTGTCACCCCGGCTGTCTGCGGCCGCCCCGCCCTGACCGCGCCGATCCCGTGCGCCCTCAGTTGTCACCCCGGCCATCTCTCTGAAGGGTACGCACCTTGTTTTGTGGCTGGCTATGGCTCCCATGGCCACAGTTCGGCAAGGCCGAGTGGCTAGTGCTCTGCTTCCTCCAGGAAGCACTCCCGCCCCAGGTAGAGGCTCGCTCTGCCCCCACGAGCCACGTGCACCATCTCCTCATCGTGGTTGGCCCGCGTTTCCTGATTAGCCTCTGTGCTGCCCAAAGGCCTCACTACCCCCACCTAGGGCAGATGTGCTGCAATTGGGGTCGTGGCTGAGGAGTGTAGTGAGTGTCCCAGAAATAGCCTGGCCGCCTGGGACCGGCTGCCAGGGCCAGCGCTCAGGTGGGCTGGCTGGCGAGCATCGTGCCGAGTGCCGTGAGACCCTGTACTTTCTCTTCCTCTTCGCAGCTACCGAGGGCCAGAGCTGGAGATGTGGTCTCTGGGAGTCACGCTGTACACCCTGATCTTTGAGGAGAACCCCTTCTGCGAGCTGGAGGAGACTGTGGAGGCTGCGATCCACCCGCCGTACCTGGTGTCTGCAGGTGCGTGAGCCACAGGTGATGGGCAGCTGGCGCTGTCCTTAGAAAGCAGCAGCTCGCCCTCATTCCGTCTGTGTTCTCAGTGTCTCTTCATCCCTACTGACGAGCTCACTGATCTTTCTTGTCTATTCAGCTAATACTTTGATCTGAGTGTAAGGATAGTTTGAATATGACTTTAAAACATCTTGATAATCTAAGTTTTATTAGTGTCCCCTTTGGATCGTAGATGTCCTCTCGTGAGGAACAGACGTGCGGTCAGTGAACTTGGCCGTGCCAGTAACGGTCAGATGCGCACTTGGGCTAGAAACCCCGTCCTGTGGGCGCGTCGGTGGCTGGAGGGATGTGACCTCGCAGCGGCTCACGTGGAAGCTGTGGGGCTTCAGTTGCACCAGGAGCTGCCCACAGGGGCCATGTGACAGCAGGAAGCTTGGCTCATGCCGGGAACGAGTGCCGAGTGCCGGTTTGCGTCCGGAGTGAGGACCAGCAGGAGAGGCGGGCATGGGCTCAGACCCAGACAGCATCCCGAGGCTGGCAGGGCCAGGCAGGAGCCCCAGGGTGCCGATGGGGGTTTGATGGGCAGTCAGGCATCAGCGGGAATCCCAGGACAATCTAGAAAAGCCACCCCCCAAACGGACATGGAGCTGAGAGACCAAAGAATGACTCCGACAAGTCCGGCTTGGCGAGTTCGATGGGCTCACTAGCGGTTACGTACTCAGGGTGTCCACGCCTTGCACGGGAGCTGGTTCCCTGGACATTCAGTTCTCCCAACACTCCCTCCTGGGCGGAGCAGGAGCTGCTGGGAGAGTGAAACTGCACCGTCTGCTGGTGGAGTCGCCTCACCTCAAACCTCCTCCCAGAGAGTGGGGCAGAGCTCTCGCGTTGCAGCATTGTACGTCACGGTGAAACAGCTCAGCGTGCCCCGGACCATCCTCGGTGCCCTCACACGACCCCTGTCATGTTACCGACACTATTCTCCACCAGGCAGAGATTTCAGTATTGCAGTTGGCTAACGGGTGTCACAGGTCAGTTAAAGCAGGTCTAGAGCAGGGCTGGTTCACACCACTTGCCTCTGCCTCAAGAAAGTGCTGAGGCACATCCCTTGTGCCCAGTAACTATCTCTCGGATTTGCTTAATCCGTCTTGTACCATTTTGTCGAGCACTCCGAGCTAGCACGGCACGGTGTTCTTCCGTGCGGTGGGAAACTTTCATTTTCCCCTCAGACCACAGGGCTCTGAGAGCCCTTCCAACCTTGACCTTCTGTGATTCCGTAACAGTCATTATTGGTTAGTCGTCTCTTCCTCCTCTTAGAAGGACACTGACCCCGTCACGGGGGCCCACACTCATGACCTCGTCTCACCCTAACCACCACCTAACACCACCACACTGGGGAATAGGGCTTCGACATCTGACTTGTGGGGGGACATGATTCAGTCTGCAGCAGCCTAGAAGGGGTTTTTAGAGCTTTGCTAAAGTTCTGGATTCCTGTAACACCATGGTCCCTGCGGCATGCTGTTCCACCCAGAGGCTGTTCCTTGTGTTCTCTCACTAGGCTCGCAGGGTGGGTCCCCAGGGACAGTGAGGCTCAACATGGCCCTGGCTGAGTTGACATCCATGTTGTTAGAGGAAGCAGGACCCAAATCCAGACTCCAGGCTGGGGGCTCCTCAGAGCTCCTGCTGGCTTCCCATGGGGACCGACCGGGGATACCCCTGATGCCTGCCTCCTTCCCCTCCCCTGCCACATTAACCCTGTGTTGTTCACAGCTCTGCAGAGCCAGGGCCCCTGAGAACCTTCACGCCTGGGTTTTGGTTGAGTGAGATGAACTCCAAGCTTGCATTTCTGAGCAATGCACATCTCCCACGGCTTCTCTCCAAGCTCACCGGGCTGTGCGCTAGAGCCCCAGGGGTCCTGGGCCGTCTCCTGCCCAGGCAGAGGCTCTGCAGGGTGGGCACCCAGGAACCTGCAGTGTTGATAACAGCCTGGTCCACCATCTGTTGTCTGTCTCCAGAGCTCATGAGCCTGGTGTCTGGGCTGCTCCAGCCAGCCCCTGAGCAGCGCACCACCTTGGAGAAGCTGGCAACAGACCCGTGGGTGACACAGCCCGTGAACCTCGCTGACTACACGTGGGAAGAGGTGTGTCGAGTAAACAAGCCAGGTGAGAGGCTTCTTGGCATGCCTCCCTCCCTGCGTGGCTTTGCTTGGAGCAAGCAGGTCCCTAGGCTGCCTGCGTGAGTCAGGAGGAGGAGAAGGAGGCTCCCTCCTCCATGCTGTCCTGGACACGAATGTCAGGGCCTTAGCTGGCCTGTCACCTGTGGGGGGCTTGATTCTGTCCAGAGACCCCTAGATGCTCCTGGGGCTGTGAGTGTGGCTGTGGCCTCAGAAGGTGGGCGAGTGCCCACGGCAGCCCCCAGTAGAGGGGTCGGGGCCGATGGTCTGCCAGGCTGGAGGGGAGGATGCTGGGATACTCTCACCATGGCTGTTCAGACAAAGCTCCTGGCTGCTGCTCCAGCCATCCACCGAGCTGGTGTTACTGCCTGGGCCTGGCTCCCGCAGCACTGTGGCAGGGTCTGCACTTCCAGAGTGCTGCCCGCTGAAGGCTTCTGTTCCAGGACTCCTAGTGAGAAGCAAAGTGGTTTAGAATCTGGTGGTGTTAGTGCCTGATACGGTGCCTTCTTCTTTCCTCAGAGAGCGGAGCTCTGTCCATTGCCAGTCTGGAGACGGCGGGCAGGAGTCTGAGTGGAGCGGCACAGGAGCTCTGGGGAGGTCCCTGCCCCACAGCAGGCTCTGGCGGCCAGTGCCGTTTGCGTCCCGGGGACCCCTCTCAGCTGAGCGGCTGAACACTGGCTTCCTGCTCTTTTCTACTCAGGAAAATCTGTGGTTTTCAGGCCCCATCCATTTGGAGAAGGTGAATTCTCAAGAATTAGGCCCATTTCACATTCTGAAAACTTACGTGTAAGTTTTATAAATAATAGAACAAAAGCCAGTGATATTATTTTAGGTTTATAAAACTGACTTGGAATTCACTTTTTTCATGATCTTGAAAAATCATTCCAGTGTTCACTTGATACTATTAAAAGGCTTTTACTTTGTGAACTTCCAAAAGGCATAAAAGAGTGTTTTAGTTCTTTTTCTACTTTTGCATACATGCGTATGTTGTGCTTCCTCTGATGTGGCGGATGCTCCTCTGAGTGACGGATGTGTGGGGTTTGTAGAAACGGTGAGCCAAGGGCAAGACTGTTTCATTAATTTATTTCCTTGAAGATTTTTCAAATTAAAGCAACTTTGTTAGTAAACCGTTATCCTGACTTTCATGGTGTGAATTGCTCCAGCTTCCTGGGTGTGAGAAGCACTTGGCTTCTTTATTTTTCCATTTGTCTACCTCGCTTGCCAGAGCTGGGGAGAAGTCTAGTCTCGGTCAGTCTGGGGTCCCTCTCAGAGGTGGGCCCTGCCAGGGGTGGTCCAGGGCTCAAGCTTGGCCATCTGAGAAGACTGGGGAGGGAGGGTGTGGTGTTTTCAGGGACTTCCCTTCTGTCTGCCTGGGCTCTGCAGCAGGACCTTCTGTCAACATATGGCCCATGTTAACAGCCCCCAGTACCCCACAGCCACCCAGCCCTCACCTCCGTGTCTATGTGAGGGGCCCAGGCCCCATCTCTGTCTACATGAGGGGCTCCAAGGCCACCTCTGTGTCTATGTGACGGGTCGAGGCCCACATTTGTGTCTACATGAGGGGCTCCAGCTCTGTCAGCCCCTCAGTGTTGCTCAGGTCCCCAGTGTATTTCTCACATATTCAGCTGGCTGCTTCCCTCTCTCAGGCTCCAATCCATCCCCCTCTCAGACAGAATCACCACGTCAAGCACATGAAATCCAGTTTTATTTCATATCTCTGTTAGAGAGGAGGGAGTGGCTAGGGGTGATTATGAAAACTTCCATTTTGTTTCCCTGCAGAGACAGCAGGAATAAAGCAAAAACAACAACCAAAACATCTCCCTTTTCCCTACATGCCATCTCTTGCATGGACATTTTTCTCCAGATTCCAAGGCTTCTCTTGCTCAGAATCCCCTGGAAGCAGCTTGGGGGCCAGGCTGCCTCCAGTATGGCTGTGCTTAGTTTCTAGTGGTTATTTAGGAGGTACTCAACTGTTTATTTTAGGATGGTCAAAGCAGAATTAATTTTAGTTCCAACTAACAGGGCATAGGGGATCGCCAGCCCCTTTCTTCAGAAGGTGCTGCCTGAGTCTCCCTGACATTATAAGTGACTGATGAGGTTGCGGGATCAGGGATGTGGAGGGAGACCCTTCTCTATCGGGGACGTTAAAGGTGCAGGGTTTTTCGAGGAGTGGAGTGAAATATGAAGATAGTTCCTCTTCAGAATTCAAATGAGTTTTCTGATACTCTGAGAACTCTAAATGTTTTTCTCTTTGTAGTGTTTATGATTCTTCTAACACATGAGATGTTAGAGAATGGCGTTTTTCAGAGAGGTATGTAGTGGGCTCAGAATGCAAAGTCCTAGCTCTCCAAGAACTGTTACTTTATAAGAAAAAATAATTAAACCTCATCTGACACGATGGCAGTGGAAGGCATTTTGCAAGTGTTCTTCGCAGAAATAACCTGGAGAGAAAAGTTCTGAGGCTGAGGCCGACGGTTTTTCCATTCCACGTTTCAAGTGTGGTTTAAGGAAGCAACGTCTTCACAAAAGACCGAAGACGTTGTCAGTTTTTCACAGCAATCCCTGCATCCCAGCTGTCGCTCTGTTTCTAGAGCAGGACACCCTGCACAGGTTCCACTGTTCTTTCCAAGGAATTGGGGTGACTCACAGGATTTTTTTCGTAGGTTTTTGGTGTAAAAGCATTAACAGAATTTATTTTGAGGTGTTGGCAGTTGAGTGTTCTAAGAAAATTAGATATCATAATATGAAAACAACAAAAAGCAACTAATTCTTTAGTTCTACACAGACTGCAACCTTCCTTTTCTTTGATATAATCCTTTTGACCAAAGATACTTTGACATAAATACTTCAGCACCCAGCTTGGGGCCTGGGACAGAGCAGATACTCTGTAAGTGAGTAAATGCAAGAATCAAGTCCGTCATCCCATTTCAGAAAGTAGATAATACTGGAAGACATGCTTATAAATTAAGGCTTTGCACTTTCAAGGGGTGAAATTTAGGCAGATGAAAAAGCACAACTTTTTTTCTTCACAACTATCCCCTTATGCCTCGGCTCTATACCCGAACAGGTCGAGATCTGAAATTTAAGGATCAATGTACCTTAGGCTGAAACATGACAGTGTTTCGCCCTAAGCTGGACCTCGGAGTTGGGAGGGCTTTTGTTTATAAAGGGAATTGTTCCTGTCATTTTATTACTTGGGTAAAGACTTCGTGTGTGTGTGTGGCCCCAGCGTCCGTGTTCAGCACAGATTTTCACACAGTCAAAATCGTGGACGTTTCTATCCGGAACTGAGTCCGTCTTCACTGCCTGGGGAAGGACTTTTGCGCGCCGCGGCGCAGTCACTGTTGCCACAGAGACGGCCGGTGTGAACGGAGGTTATAGCTCCATTTTGCCTGTACTCTGGCGAGAAATGTCCAAGTCATCCGAACAAGAGTATGGGACGCGGTACTCGTTCGTCGCGCCAGCCGAGAGCTTTACAAAGCGGGAAGGACAGTGCAGCGCGTCACGACGGAATCGAGCCACGCTCCGGCCGCGGCCGCGGCGCTCGGCTTGGCTCCCGGCGGGGTCACGGCCCGCGGGCTCGGCGGCGGAACCCGCTGTCCACGGTCCTCCCTGGCGCGGGACGGGGCGGCGGTGACGGACCGCGGGGCCGGAAGTGATGGACCGGGGAAGGCCGGGGCTTCCGGCGCCAGAGCGGCTGCCGTCTCGTCTGTGCCATGGCTGCGTTTTGCCGGCAGGTGCGGTAGCGAGGGGTGCGGGGCCCCTCGAGGGTCGCGGGCGTGCCGAGGCGCGGAGGAGCCGCTGCCTCCGGGGTGTTTACGGCCAGGTGGTGGCAACGGGAGTTTTCTCGGGCGGTCTGTGCGCGCCGTGTTGGTCTTCCCGGACCTGCGGCTCTGCTCAGTTCAGCGCGGCTGTGGCCGGGTTTCCCGGCGACTGCCCGCCGTTCCCGGCGGAGGGGCAGCTGGACCGTCAGCGGGGCGGGCCGGTGCTGGAGAGCCGGGAGCGCTGGGCCTTGACTAGCTGGCCGGGGGCAGCGGTCGGTGACGCTGGAGGGGGAGGTGGGACCGATGTGAAGGTTTCCGAGGGCGTCGGTGATTTGTGCTTAATTTGTTAAGCACTGGCCTGAACCACTGAACATTTTTGAGGTAACAGGAATTCTGTATACAAGTGGACCGACAGACTAATTATGGTTGACCCTTAAACAACCCAACCGAAAATCCGCATAACTTTTGACCTCCCCCAGAAATTTACCAATAGCCTACTGTCGACTGGAAGCCTTACTGATAACATAAACAGTCGATTTAACACATATTTTGTACGTTATGTGTATTATAGACTGTGTTGTTACAATAACGTAAGCTAGAGAAAGATAATGTTACTAAGAAAATCATAAGGATCTTGGCTGTGAAAAAGATTTTTCTATCTATTAAAAAAATCATAGAAGAAAATATATTATTAAGTGGATATGGATCATCATAAAGGTCTTTAGGCTGAGAAGGAGGAAGAAGAGGAGGGGTTGGTCTTGCTGTCTCCAAGGTGGAAGGGGCAGAAGAAAATCCGCATATAAGTGGACCCCAGGAGTTCAAACCCGTGTTGTTCAAGGGTCAACTGTGTATCTGACAAGATTCTTCTTGTGAATGAATTTACCTAAATCCATGACCAGGTACATGACTCTGGAGACTCATCTGAGGTCCAGACGTTACCAGGTGGCCTAGAAATAGTTTTCCCTGTCCCTGCCACTTGACTCTGATCTGTATGCCTTGCAACATCCTGTTCTCTCTGTGTGAACTTTATTCTATGTAGACTTTTTAAGTTCAAGTATGATTTTGCAGATTGCTTATAAAAACTGTTATGTTTGTGTGGAACCAAGGTACTAAATATCCTGGGTCAAAAACCTTGTGGTGTCCATTACGTTGGGGTGGTGAGGAATTGATTCTCTTTTGGTCCTGTGTGTTACAGGTCCTTGATTGCTGCCGCCTGTTCCCCCTAACCTGGGCCCGTGTGGCCAGGGAGACTCCTTGTCTTGGAGAACGGAAAACGGTGACTGTTCCTTTGTTGCGTAAACTGACTACAGCCTCCGGCGGAGGGGACCTTGAGGAGTTATCCTGTGTTGGATCCAATAAGTATGTGAAGGAGCCAGAGTGCAGGATGAATCTTGTCCAGTGCCTCCTTGAGAAGCAGAGGACTCCTGAGGATCGAGGGTCCTTGGAGCTAGAGAAGGTCACCAGTTCCCTCCTGGACATGGGTTTCAGTGACGCCCATATCAATGAATTGCTCAGTATGCGGCCAGGTGCCAACCCTCAGCAGTTGCTGGACATCATTTCAGAATTTATACTCTTGGGTCTGAATCCAGAGCCTGTGTGTGTAGCCTTGAAGAGAAGTCCCCAGTTATTGAAACTGTCTATAAGGCAAATGAAGAAGCGCTCCATATACCTGCGAAAGCTTGGACTTGGAGAAGGTACAGAAAGATGCAGATTTTATATAGTGTGAGAGGAGTCAGGGTTGGGGAAAGAATGGCCTACGGCGAGATGGATTAGGGAAGGTTTCTGCGGAGGCGTCAGTTGTTCCTAGAGAGGAAGAGGAGTCACCTCTGCAGAACGCGTTGGACGAGGGAAGTGGGCGCATTAAGACTAAAAGAGAGAATCGAATGCCAGGACAGAGAGTGTGGTCTTGTTTGTTCACCGTGGGGTCTCTAACACCTAGAACAGTGGTGAGCACACGCATGGATGTTGACGTGATGTTGATCCGTGTATGCATATGTAAACTTTGATATTTAAATCCACTTGAAGTGATCTCAGTGCTTTGTCTGCGCATGGTGTAAAGCCAACGACATCATCACTTGCAAAGCCTTGGGTTCCAGCTAAGTGTTTTGATTTACTGCAGAACGTGCGCGATCTTGCCAGGTTCCTGGGAAACCGGTGGAATGGTTGTCCCTTCTAGCTAGTCCCACCCCGTGCCCACCAGTGTTCACAGCTCAAGGATCCTCAAAGTTCCTTGGATCTCTTTAGGGGCCTTCTGGAGAAGGGGTTGGGGCTCATGAGGGTCTCCAAGGACCCCTAGTCACTTTGACCAGAGGAGTCCCACTGTTATTTCTTTTCCTTAGCGACTCTTCCTAGTGAGATTTTTTTCTTTTGGGTGGCGGGAAGGTTTAGGACCCCACTATTTCACAGTATCTGTACAGGCCTTCTTCTCTAGAAGACAAGCAAAAATATATCCTCGTATACTTCTCTTAACAGAGCACTTCTCACGATGTGCTCTGAAAGGCTAAACTCGATGCATTATGTGCTGTGGTTATTAATTAGTAAACTCAGCACAGCCTTATGAGGTGAAGATAGAGCCTGAGATTCATTCCTCACACACTAAGAAAATGACCAACTCAAATGTTAGGAAAATTTTTATTAACGGTTTAAATAAGTGATTTTAAGTTTCTAGTTACTAAATTTTGCTCAGCTATCCATAGGAAGACCACATACCCCAGTTTGCCTGGAATAGTCCCAGTTTATACCAGTTATTTTAATGCAGTTATTAATAGGGCCTCTTTCACTCACAGTGCCCTGGTTTGGATAGAATATATGGTCACACAGTAACGAGACGTTAGCATTTGTGGCTGTGTGTTGTTATCACCATTGTTATTGTTACGGCTCCTTCTCATTGAGTTCAGGCTCCCAGCTCTTGCGAATGCTTCAGTGACTGTTTTATTATAGAGGGAAACATCAACCCAGAGCCCCAACATGGGGAAGCTACTCCCCCATCTTACTGCCTCGTCTTTGAGTAAATCTCTGTGAAATTTTTTTCTAGGTGAGGAGGGCAAGGGGAGACCTAGAATACAAAGTCGGTGCCTTTCAGACGGGATGCCGGAACAAAGCAGGCGTTTAGGGAGGGAGGGAGGGCTGGTGAGTCAGAAGTGTCAGGAAGTCAGTGGGGGGATGTGTCCTTTCCATGGTGCTTCTGGAAAGATACATTGGAAATTGGCACTAGTTCTGTGGTCGGAGAAGATCCTCGTTCGTTTTTTAAATGCAAGCTTAGATCAGCTGCACGTAGCCCCTTGGGATTCTGAGATATCCTGAAATTATGTGCCTGCTTTTTTTGAATGTTCTGTAGGGAAACTAAAGAGGGTGCTTTACTGTTGCCCTGAAATTTTCACCATGCATCAGCGGGACATCGATGACGTTGTCCAGGTCCTCAAGGAGAAGTGCCTTTTCACAGTACAGCAGGTAACCAATATTTTGTACAGATGCCCCTCTGTTCTTCGAGAGGAACCCGGTGAACTGGAGTACAAGTTCCAGGTGAGAATGACTGCAGAGTGGTGGGGTGGGCAGGCAGGTTCTTCGTGAAGCAGCGAGGGTCAGACACCTCATGTTGGAGCGGGGAGGTGAAAGGCTTAGATTCCTTTTGTATACACTGGCCAAAGAGAATCGGGTTCTGGTTCTTTTGCTTTTTCACTACAGATCAAACCCGTTCTGCAGCTTTTCTGCCATTAATATTGACTAACTCTGTCCCATTCTTAGAGTCCAAGTGGGGATTCTGGTTGAAATAGCTAATTTTAAAATGGCTAAAACCTTCCTATCTTTAGAATCTATTCTGCATATTGACTTTGTAATTGTGACAGTTGTCCTAATTTTTTAGTAGCAATTATGACAACTTAGGTCAAATTCCAAGATGTTTCCTGAATTTTTTGCCTATTCTTTCCATACTCATAGTTTTCCTTCCCCCGGCTGAAGAAAAATATAACCTCTCCCTCCTGCCCCTTTATTTTCTGCTACATTTTTCTCAATGTAAATTTGAAAATGCTTTGAAAACTGCCACCCATCATACAAACCTCAGTATCACTGAGTGGGTGTTCTGCTGTTGTTAACTGGGCAGTTCCTTTTCAGTGCTTCTGGGCAGCGTAGGTTTATTGTGGATTGTGGAATGATAGGTTTTAAGATTCTGTACCTGGGATTACTTGGTGGGTTTGTGTCTTCCAGTATGCATATTTTAGGATGGGAGTTAAGCACCCGGACATAGTAAGGAGTGAGTTCTTGCAGTACTCAATAACCAAGATTAAGCAGAGGCACGTGTACCTGGAGCGCCTAGGACGGTACCAGACCCCGGATAAGAAGGGGCAAACGCAGATCCCCAACCCGCTACTCAAGGACATCCTCAGAGTTTCAGAAGCCGAGTTTTTGGCCAGGACAGCCCGTTCTTCTGTTGAGGAGTTTGAGGTTTTTAAGAAGCTCCTGGCTCGGGAGGAGGACGAGGAGTCTGAGAGCGGCTTGTCAGACGACGAACGGGCAGGTGTGGGCGAGGACGAGGAGGACGAGGAGGACGAGGAGGATGAGGAGGACGAGGAGGACGAGGAGGACGAGGAGGAGCAGCTATGAAGGAAGGAATGCGCAGAAGGGCGTGGAGACAAGGGACGTGCCTCTCCGCTTAAAGCTCTTGGGACCTTCGCTCGGATCTTCTTAAGTTACGTTTCATTCTAAAACTGGTCTTTTGACATGAACATTATTAAAAATCCCCTAAGTAGACAGGCTAGGAAACGCATCATTCAACCTGCTGTCGAGCGTCGGGGAGGCCCTGTTCCACCCTAAAGAAAAGACTGACTTGGAGCTGTTAAGATCCGGGGGACTCGATACGTGAAAATTTGGTTTCATTCTAAATGTGTTGGTGATGATGCCATGACCGGGGAGATGGGGTTCCTTCTTCTGGCTCAAGAATCACTTTATATTTCCTTCTAGTGATAAACATAAAATTACGAGAAGGCAGAATAAGGTTTTAGAACATCATAGCACTTTATTTTATGAAAACAAGTAGCAGGTTTTCCACAAAAATACTTGTTTTTAATCCAAAAGTATCTTATTGCTTCCTAACTGCATTCAGTGTACAGCAGAGTAAAAGGAAATGGATTAATAGCGTGTGGTTTAATTTTGCACAGCTTCTAAGGCCAGCAAAGCTCTGGGGCACTTCTCTACCTTTGTGAGGATCAGGCCCTCCTGTCTGGGAAGTTGGCTTTTGTGCCAGCTCCTGGCCGGTGGTCACTTGCTGCCTTGGCATCTTGGGCCCTGGCCTGTACAGCCAGAGCGTGCCGGCCTGGAGAGTGGTCTGAAACGGTTGTCTCCCCTGCCCGGGGAACAGAGGGGCTTTGAGAACCAGAGGAGGGGGTCACAGAGTGGGGTGGGCTGGGCCAGGGTGCAGGGAGCTCCCCACAACCCCCAAGGTGGAAGTGCCACCTTGGGGAACCCTCTGGGTTTGAGGAGCAGTTTAAAGTGTTGGGAAGGGAAGCAGGAATTTGACGTAAGCTGGGGGTGATCTCTGAGGTAGAGGCCTGGCGTTGATGGCGTGAGCTCTAGGAGGGGCCTAGAGGGTTGGTGCAACCTAGAATGTTCTAGGTAGCCCTTGCTCAGGAGCTGGCATGGGATCGAAGCAGAAAGTATTTTTGATGATGGGACCAAATTTCAGATGTCGCTGGCAGCATTTTAACAACTATGTGAAACACCAACGCGTGGCCCTGTTTTTCCCACACGGACCAAGTAGGACTCCTCCAAGGCCACGGTTCTCACCTGGGGGGAGTGCTGACCCTCAGCGGATGTCTGGTGATCTCTGGAGATGTGGTGTCATGGCCTCTGGGAGGGTGCTCCTAGGACCTAGGGAGCAGAGGCCAGGGATGCCCGCACGAGAGAGACCGATCGAGCCCAGGACGTCAGTGCCAAGGCTGAGAAGCTGCTCTGAGGCCTGGCTCAATAAATTCTCGTGAGTGTGTCTGTTCGTGGCAACCTCAGATTGTCAATGGACCTACAGTAATTGTGTCATTTTATTTAAAGGAACAATAGCTGATTTTTCAATAGGGCTCTTTGCGCCTGTGTGTCGGAACGCTCTTGGTAGAGCTGAGCCGTGTTTCACTGTGGGGACTCGGCACTGAGGTGCGGATGCCTTTGCTTTCCCCAGCAGGCCCACAGCAGAGCGTGACTACAAGTAAAAGGACGTTTTCTGCAAAAGAAGAGCGGTAGCTCAGTGACTCACTCCACATCTTGAGCCAGACATCGGGGGCAGTGGTTTGCCAGGGGGAGGAGTTTCCGCTAAGGGAAGGTGCAGGAGGTGAGCGGACCCCTGGGTGGGGCCTCCGCGAGCGGCGGGCACGCGAAGGTTTCCTCACTCACGCCCGGCAGCCCCCGAGTGGCGGGGAACGGGGGAGTTGGTCTGTCTCTCTCTCTCTCTCTCTCTCTCTCTCTCTCTCTCTCTCTCTCTCTCTCTCGGCCACGGGCAAAACTGAAATGGAGACTCGTCACTCTGCCAGTGTTTTCGTTTGCTGTTCCCTTGTGTGGCATCCAAGTGACCGCCACTCTCCCTGGAACCCAAGATGTTGTTTTTGTGCCCAAGCGGAGGACCAAGTAGAGTCCCAAATCTGTGCTTGGTTACATGGTCATCCCAAGTTTTGATTAGCAAGTGGTTAACTCAACAACGCATAATTTAATTTTGACACAGAAATAAATCTTTATGCCCTGGTAATTTTTGGCTTCTGTTATTACTCATTTCCTTGAGTGGACTTTTGAAGATTTTCAAGGAAAACATTCGAGTTTTAAGATGGAGCCATGTGACAAAAACAAGGGCGGCTCGTGTGGGATGTTTCAGGAATAAAGTGAAATTCCTTTAGCGTCAGGATGTCTTGTTACCATACACTTAATTTGTAAAACGTCAGAAAGGGTTAATCGTGACAACACAGCACCAAGCTAGGATTCCTAGACCATTTCTTGTTGAAATAGAGGCTTCTAAGCTAAAACCTGGAGTGTGTCAGCGTTTGCTGCATGGCTGAGGGGCTTGAGGTCGTAGGAGTAGAAAGTTTCATAGAAAGTTGCGTCTACTTTTCCAGTGATATCACCATTTGCTCGTAATGCTGTAGCTTACACGGACGAACAGTGACAGGTCCCGGTGCTGCAGCTGAAGTCAGCAGTACACGTTCGTGTACGTAGCTTTCTCTGTTCACCCGCGTTCCAGACCCTTCACCGCGCTCAGCCTGCTGCTCTCAGCTGGGTCTTTGCAGACTGGGGAACGTTTCTGGTGTACAGTAGAGACTTCTTGAAACGGCTGTTCCTCCTTTTTGAAAATGACAAATTGCATAATACACAGACATATGCACACAAAATTTTAATAAAAAATAAAAAGCCTAAAATATACTCTAACTCTTAAAAAACCTTTTTGTAAAAGAGGAAGGGAAGGAGGCCCTCGTCGTGGCTGGAATGCTGACTCTGGGCAGAGTCGGGGAGATGTACAGGGTCCTTGATTTCCAGTTGGATCAGCTACTACGAGACTCAGCACGGGAAGAGGTGCGATTGGCTTCTTTGGTTTTAACCTATGTGCAGGGAGAAGACGTGTAAGATGATGCCGTGTTCTGCTTGTGAGGATGGGAACATCTGAGACTGTGTTTGCTGCCTGGTAGCCTGAAACAGTATTGCTTGAGTCATGGACCAAAAGGAGCCTGGAACGTTCTCCAGCCCAGCCCACGCGCCCGTGTCTGCCGCACTGAGACGTGTGAGGAGGAGCCCGTGCTCCTTGCTGGCGGTGCGCCTTGCTTTCCAAGTAGGGGTCTGGATAGCTTTTCTCCGTGAAAAGCCAGGGGTCTTTGGGGCCGTGGTGGTGACTTGCTATCCAGGGGGTAGCTTCCTTGCACAAGACCGGAGCCTAGGTGATGTCGTGGACCAGGGGTTTGCCAGCCATGGCCCATGGGCCAATTTGGCCGCCCCTTGTCTTTGTAAATAAAGTTTTATTGGAACGCAGCCACACCCACGCAGTTCCCCGCCTGTGGCTGTGGCTGCGCTACCACGGCAAAGCTGAGTCGTTGCCCCAGGGGCCTCTGGTCTGCAAAGCCAAAGCTATTTATTGTCTGACCCTTTACAGAGAAAGTCTGCCAGCCCTGCCGCAGACTGGAAGCGTCTAAACTCCACCTTGGTATTCATTACCATTTCCTCTTTCAAAATGTATGAGTCCCCGTCGCGGGTCATAGGCCTGTGGAACGGTGAGCGTAAGTAGCGGGAAGAGCAGAGCAGGGTGAGCTGTGCCGGGAGCCTGGCCTTCCTTCCAGCGTCACCCCGCTTCTGCCCCCTCCGCCGTGGTCGGTGGCAGCTGTCCATCCCTGGCAGTTCCTCCCCAGTTTGTTAGGTCACGAAGGGAGAATTCTTTCTCCGGCATTGGAATCCGAGGGCGGGTGTCTGAACGCTGCAGAAGTGTGACTGGCGCCTCGCCAGGCCTAGCGGATGACACGCTGCCATCTCTCATGCAGGGGCACAGACCACACCTTCGCAAACTGCAGCCCGGTCGAGCACAGGCTGCTTAAATGCGTCGCAGGACTCGTAGATGGTTGGTCTCTGAGGCGTCTCCCAGGGTGGGCTGGTGAGTGCGCAGCCTGGCCGTCTGCCTGCCGAGGCTTGAGGAGAGAGGTCACAGAGGGGACTGATGCCAGCCAGGCCCTGGTCTTTCAGGGTGTCCTTTTCAATCCAATTTTCAGACCTTGTCTTCCTGGGTTTTAGAAACTCTTGGGGTTGGCAGAGTGTAACAAGAACGTCCTAAATCCTTTGAAGAGAAAACAAAGCAAGGAGTGAGGAAAACGGTGGTCATACCCAGTCCCCCTTTAAATGGCAGCTCCCGTTTCTCTTGGTGATGCCGCTTAGGTGTTTGGGGACCCCCAGAGGACCCGATGCTGTTAAAGCATCAGGTCTCCCGTGGCAGTGGGCGTGGGTGAGGGGCAGGCGTGTCAGGGAAGACCGACTACATCCCACGTCTTTAGGGACATTTGGCTCAGCGTTGAAGCTTTCAGATTTCAAACCGACAGGCTGCTCCTCCCTGCCCTGCTCCGCGTGGTGATGACCCGGGGTCTTTTCTGCGCGGGCACAGGCTGTGCAGCTGCCCTGGCCTGAAGTAAATTCTTTGTTGTTCTTGGGTAGCCGTCTGGGAGGGTGTGTTTCTGTTTCCTGCTTTTGTGTGTTTTCCCATAGGTGTTCCATAATTTAATAATTAATTGGGGGTTTCTGATTTGTTTTTGTAGAGAAGGATTTCCTGAGCACGTCTTTGATAGATACAGTAATATGTCAGGGGATGTACCGTCACATGACTGTCTCAAACACGAGTATGTCTGCGGGTTCTTAATCCTAGTACAGCCATGTGCTGTGTAGTGATGCTTCAGTCAATGACGGACCACACGGATGAAGGTGGTCCCATAAGATTATAGCGGAGCAGAAAAATTCCTATCACCTAGTGACGTCACAGCCGCCATAGCATCACGTCGAAATGCGTCACTCATGTGTGTGTGGTCACCGTTGGTCAAACAAACCTGTGCTGCCAGTTGTACAAAAGCATCGCACACACGATTGTGTACAGTACCCGACACTTAATGACAGTGACGACCATGTCCCTAGTTGTTTATGTGTTCACCGTACTGTCTAGTCGTCACTTCACAGTATACTCCTCCGACTTACAAATGAAGAGTATAACTGTAAACAGCCTCAGCAGGTCCCTCAGGAGCGTCCTGAGGAAGGCACTGTTCCAGGAGGTGGCAGCTCCGTGCGCATTATTGCCCTGCAGACCTTCCGTGGACGAGACACGGAGGTGGAGACAGTGGTACTGACGACCCTGACCCTGTGCGGGCCTCAGCTAGTGTGTGTGTGTCTTAATTTTTTATTTTTATTTTCTGAGACGGGATCTCGCGCTGTTGCACGGGCTGGAGTGCAGTGGCGTGGTCACAGCCCCTGCAACCTTGACTGTGTGGGCTCAGGCAATTGTCCCGCCTCAGCCTCCCGAGCCGCTGGGACTGTCGGTGTGCGCCACCACGCCCAGCTAATTTTTAAATTTTTGGCAGAGATGGGTTCTTGCTATGTTGATCTCCTGGCCTCAAGTGGTCCTCCTGCCTCGGCCTCCCAAAGTGCTGTGATTATAGGTGTCAACCAACACGTCTGGCCTATGTCTTAGTTTTTAAAAAAAAAAAAAAAAAAAGAGTTAAAAATAGGAAAATTCTTATAGAATAAGGGTATAAAGAAAGGAAAAATATCTTTGTACAGCTGTACAATGTATTTTAAGCTAAGTGTTATTACAAGAGTCAAAAGGCTAAAAGAAATTAAAAAGGTTATAACGTAAGCTTAGGTTAACCTGTTATTGAAGAAATAGAAAAATCGTATTTTTTATAAATGTCGTGTAGGCAGCCTAAGTGTATAGTGTTTGCAGAGTCTGCAGCAGCGCACGGCGCTGTCCCGGGCCTCCACTCCCACTCAGGCAACTTCCTGTCCTGCAAGCTCCACGCACGGCAGGTGCCCTACACAGGTGCACCATTTTTCATCTTTTCTGTTGTATTTTTGCTGCGCCTGTTCTGCACTTAGATACACAGACACTTTGCATTGTGTTACCGCTACCTGCAGTGTTCGGTGCAGCATCACGCTGCACAGGTGTCTCGCCCGGGAACAACAGGCTCTGTCATACCGCCTAGGCGTGTAGTGGGCTGTATCATCTAGGGCTGTGCACGTGTTCTTGTGTTTCTGCTCGACGCAACTGCCTAGTAACACGTCTCAGAACATGTCCCATAGTTCAGTGACGCATGACTGTAGTAAATGGCTTGCCAGCCTCGGGGTGT